GATGGTCAGGTAGATATTTGCAAGCGCTTTACTGGTTTGTACTGGGGTTGTCTCACGTCAGACGATCGATGAACCACGTTGTGAAGTAGATTAGGGGAGGATTGGACGTTCAGAACTTGTGGCGCTCTTCCTCAATATACTAGTCGGAGACTTATCTCAGTCTTGGCTGGTCACGTAGAGGGGCAACTACAAAACGTTCCGAACCGTTGGCTTATTGGACAATATGCTAACTACAAACAGAACACGACAAATCCTACCGATAACCGCTCTGGCTTTATTCGCTGCTAGGGATGACGTTGGATTTGAATGCGAACACGCTAATCATATTACTCCATCTAAGGTCCCGAAATGGTATGTGTTAGCCGTAGCTCCCATCATTTTCAGCAACCAAATGAGAATCCTCATAATCAAGTTCCTTCTGCTAGCGATTGAAGATATGGTGATGCCACGTGCTTCCTGTATTGAACATGGATAGATACGTGGAGACAAGATAGATATTAACATTCCAAAAGCTCATGACTGCATCATGGGATCGATATGTGCACTGTCCTGAAGCTTCAAAATGCCAATGAGCCTCCTCACTTCGTCTATGATGCGAATGCATGGTGGACGATCAGCACCGCTCGCGTATTGAGCATAATCTTGGCTTCGAGGATTGCTGTGCCAGCCCCTCTGGCGCTCTTCCAAGACCTCCAGTAAACCCATGAAAGAGCTCTTGCTTGCTCCATCCAAACCATAAATCTCCGTCTTGACAGCTTTGTTAGCTAAAATCATCCATTCTAGCGGATGCATCTGTATGCTGAACCCCGGTGCGCCAGATGGCGCATCTGGCGGTGAAACGACTCCGTCCGACCCCAAGCCCTGGAATTCAATGGCTTTAGTCTGGTTGAGGCGAGTGGCTGTTGTTGCCTCGGATTCGATGGCCTCAAGCACAGAGCCGTACTGTCTTGCTATAGACATCATGAGGCCGCCTAAGAGTGACATATTCTGTGTGGCGGAGAGAAATCTCGTCGGACAAATCGGACAATGGATGATGTCTCTTGCCTTTACCATCATCCCTCTCAAGAAATGGAGACCTGAAGGGAACGTCATCTCCTCGTTCGCCTGCATCTGATCTAGCATAAGGTACAAGCTCGCGAGACAGGCGCACGAAGACTGATTGGAAGGAGCCGCAGTCGACCCAAGCGGAGTATTGTCGGGACTTGGAGCTGTTGTAATCAAGACTCCACCATCTTCAGATAAGGCGTCCAGTCCAGCTTCCGCCTGTTCTTCACAAAGGGTAGTGGTGCTTGAGATCGAATTGTTAGTCGCCCAGTTGTTTTGATCGGGAATTGAGTCCCCTGTATATGCGGACGAAGTTGGAGCCGATGTCGCTGTGGTGGACGTATGATCGGAACTGGGCCCGATTGCCGAGAGTTGCGTCCAACTAGACGGCTCCGATGTACCCGCCTGCCGGTCATCCATCGGGGTGGGCACGCCGCATGCGCAGATCTTCCGCCGCGGAGGCCGGCCAATTGGTTTTTGGATGGAATAAAAACACTCTGCTCCAAATCTTGCACATCTGCCGCACTTCGGTCCTTTCCCATCACACCTCACTTTCTTCTCTCCTATCGGGTCGAGGATCAGTTCATGTTTAGCGCCGTTTTTAACGAGGCGAGATCCACTTACTGCACCGGTCGCAAGATGCACGCTTGGTCGCGGGAACTTGTTCAACTGGTGTCGACTTCATTATGAATTCGCTTGAGTATGTTCAACGGCGTTCATTCTGTAGCCCGGAATGAAATTCAAAGGAGGAAGGATAGCTACAACCTCGAATTTGGCAACCAGATGACAGTCGCGGAGACTTAAGTGTGGTTTCATTCGACACTGGCTGCTGTGGAGTGAGTTTGAGCAAGTTGTGACCAATGATAGCGACGGAAAGTGTCCGAGGTCATCTGGCGCAGGGATGACTCGCGTTCAAGGTTTGGCATCTGAGAGCTTCGAGCACTGACGGCAGCTTACAGGAAAGGAGGCTGAAATGGCAATATCGCCATGCCATGCAAGCAAAGTATGTAAGGCTGTGGTTAGGACTCAGAGTGCTTATCACATCAAGTTCATGTTATTTCAATCAAGAGTTGCTGAAACTGACCCGCCAAAATTCTAGCAACGAGTTGACGTTGAATAGAACTTCCTAGTGCATTTGCGTTGGCTCAGGACGTGAAAGATCTCGTGAATGCTGACACGGATCCCTTTCATTTTTAACGGAGCTACTCGTTTGAGACTTTGACCACAGAAGAAGCACCATATTTACTACCTACTGTTGCTTTTCTGTATTTGCTATCATCAGTACCTTGTCTGCCGGCTTTAGGACTGAGTACCACTCAGAGTGGTCGGGCAACTCAACTTCAAATGCCTCGGCTGCTCCGCTGTGACAACCCAAATGAATTACCCAGTTGAAAAATCTTCTCAGTCGTATTATTTGCAGAGGTCGCCGCTTGTAGATACATTTTTCTATTCGAAAATGCATTTACCGTCAGGCATCTTTACCAGGGCTTTCAGCGATGACATGGATGGTTCCACCGGGCAACGTTAGCGACGAGTCTGCCAGGTCGTTTAACGACACTTGCACTTTTTTTCGATGATTGCATCCACTTTCAGAACCCCAAGAACGAAATCGTTTGGCGACAAGGAAAAAAAGCAGCGCGTCCCCATATGTGATGAGATCAATAGTCTCGTACGATGTCTCATGTGCCCACACTGTTGGGGGTTTGAAGCCTGCCTGGGCACACCGAATTGTCTTAGCCACCCCATGGACGGGGCTGAGAATGGTGAAAGCTGACTGGAATCGTCATCTGAAAAGAAAGGGTGTGTCTCGCTAACCCTTGGGGTCTCAATTGTAGAGCAAGGTTGCATCCCTATCACCATCTTCAGCTGGACCCCACCCACCAATAGGGCCCCAACACTACATCACAGCCTCCTTAGTCCGACTTGGCCGCCCACTTGCTGCAAAATGCAAGTGTTGTCTAAGCTAGGAGATATCTCGCGATCGCTAGACAGCCTTGAAGATTTTAGACCAAAGATTTGATATAAAAAGCATGCTTGACATCCGCAATTTTCCAGCTTTGAGAAGCGCATACGCAACAACAACATTGTTCCTTCCTCAACACATCAACATGTCTCTTTCAACTCTTCACTATGACCCCGAATTTGCAGCAGTTCTCTCGGGTGTAAACATTCCTCCTCCCCCCGCAACCTTCAAGGACGTATTTGAATTACGGGAATGGGGAGACAGTCTGCTAGAGGGCCTCGGCTTCGGAATGCCCATTCCAGAAAACGTTCTTCAAACCATTATCCCCTTTGAGAGCCACGACGGGACGGTTCTCAACATCACACACTTTTCCAACTCCAACAAGCCCAAAAATTCCACGCAACAACCTGCAGTATTCTACGTCCATGGCGGAGGCATGGTGGCAGGGAGCGTCGAGCTGTATGCTCCCAACATTGCCAATGCTGTTGACTCTTACGGGCTGGACTTTTTCGCTGTGGACTATCGTCTCGCGCCAGAGCAGCCAGGTCCCAAGCTTACCGAGGACGTCTACTATGGCCTCAAATACCTCTCTGACCACGCCAAGGAGTACCACGTTGACAACAAGCGCATCGCTATCATGGGTGACTCCGCAGGCGGCGGACTTGCGGCTGGTGCCGCCCTACTAGCCCGAGACCGCGCCCTAAGCCCTCCCATCGCGAAGCAGGTCCTGATCTACCCCATGCTAGACGACAGAACACGGCTACCTGAGAACTCTGCTTATACCCAATTCCTACTGTGGACTGAAAACGCCAACCAGCTAGGTTGGAGCTCCGTTTTGGGCGAAGGAGTAGCCGGGAACCCGAAAGCCAATGCCTCGATTTATGCCGCGCCGGGGAGAGCCAAAAACCTGAGAGGTCTACCACCTACCTACATTGACGTAGGACAACTGGATCTCTTCATGTTTGAAGACATTGCCTATGCCAACAAGCTAGCTGAAGCAGAGGTTGAGGTTGAGCTCCATATTCTGCCTGGACTGCCCCACGCATTCGAGTTTGCATCCAATGCTACTTTGGTGAAGCAAGCACTTCAGTCCCGCAAAAGAGCTTTGATGCAGGTGTAGGCTCGGTGTCAAATTGACTGACCCCCAGGAACATCACATAAGAGCAAAGATCATGTTACTTAAGGACCGATGCCGGCGAACTCACAGGGATAGCAAAGTCTCACTCGTCTTCATTCAATTGTAGGAATGATTAGTACTATTATAAACAACCGAGATATCTGTCTAGCCACATTCTCTTTTCATGATAAAAGACCAGATAATGCATATAATTATCACGACGCTCTTCCGTCTCGAATTTGTGTTCTGCCATACGTGCGTTGAAAAACCGAGCCATTTATTCTCAAAGAAGCCCCATGTGGTAAGTAAGAAAATGGCCGCGGACAATGCTCCATTCGCACCGCGCCCAGACTGTGTAGGCCGGGTTTTGGTTTCTCACCTAGCGCGGGTGTACACTCAATTACCTACATAGGTTTAAGTCATCCATAGTTAATTCCAACGTAGATCACTGTTCTGCGGAGTTTTCGTATCGCTCTCTGCGGAGTTGATCGTGTTCGCGACTGGCGGAGTTGGGTGCGGAGTAGCGGGGTATCGTCGCTGTGCTACCCACTAGAGGCCAATCAGTACCAGTTGAGGCCGTCTGGTGTCAGCTTACTTCGGGCTTTGATGTTTCAGGCAACGGAAGGAAGAGGCTTGATGGATCAAAGTGAAGGCGCTGGAACATACAGGAATACTCCCTAGATCTGTGTTATGGGAACCGAATACGGCGTTGGACTATAAATACACTTACAGCAACCTGTAAGTTCGGCAATAAATCCCATCATTCACTTGGATCCCAACGTTCATCACAACTCAAATCATTCAAAAAGCAAGTCTTCGAAATAATATTCAAGATCCTCAATCTTCTATTACATCCTCGCTTAAAGTCCTATCAACATGGTTTTCACCAGCATGGTTCTCGCTTGCCGGAAAGACGGTATCTCGCACGACGAGTTTGAGAGACGATACGAGCAACACTTAGTTCTGGTGGAGGAATTGTGTGGCAACGCGATGCCCCTGAAGCACACCAGATACTACCCCCAACACGGCGGAGCAGATGACAAGCCCATTGTCCTTTTCGGAAACAACAAGGAGATGAAATACGACGTCATCGTGACAATCGAGTTCGAAGACGAGGCTGCGTGGCAGAAATTTGGCGCCATACTGTCCGAGCCGGAGGCTGCCGCAAAGATCGCGGCTGATGAGGATGGGTTCTGGGATAGAAACCAGATGCACGTGTTCAACGTGGGAGGCGTCAAGGTTTGGGAGAGGAAATGATTGCCCGGCTAGTTCTGCTGCGACGCTCACGTTCGCGGGAGTCATGTCAAGGAAGATTTTACCGCCCCTGAAGTTGCAAACTTGCGCCTTGTGTATCTTGGAAGGACTTCTGTCATCACCGTTTTGCACGCCAGTCAATCAACCCCTGGTTGTAGGGATTCATAATTGAGAAAGCTTCATCTCACTGACTTGCGGCTGTCTATATGTGTGATTATTGTGTCTGACTCTTTGTATGATTGATTTATCGTTGAGCTACGTCTTCAGTTAGATGCCGCGGCGGACTCTCTGTTGGCCACACTGCCGCTCGCCCGTGAAATGTGGGAAAACCCATTGACCCCATTGGTCTTCATACCTTCCACCTTTCCCTCATCTTCAGGGATGAACTCTTCCACCACTTCCTCACTGGGTCCATAACCTCCACCGCCTGGTGTCTGCACGATAATGCGATCACCAGGGTTCATCATCACCGTCGCCTTTCCACCCAAGCTGATTGTTCTCACGGTGTTGTCGGTATCATCCTTCCGAATCCAAAGGTTGACTCCCCGTTGACCCTCCTCGCCACCAGCCATACCATATGGCGCGATGACACGTCGCTCTGACAGAATGCTTACTTGCATTGGCCTGCGGAACTCGATATCACGAACACAGCCATCGCCACCTCGTCTTCGGCCGAGACCACCACTTCCCTTGCGGATAGAGAACTCATGCAACAACACGGGGTAACGCTTTTCCAGTACCTCTGGGTCGGTAATGCGCGTGTTCGTGACGTTCGTGTGTACTCCTGATTGGCCTTCCCAGTGGGGACCTGCACCAGCACCGCCAGCAATCGTCTCGTAGTATCCGAAGCCCTTGGTGACTTGCCCATCCTTATTCGTGCCGCCGTAGCCAAATGTCAAGTTATTGCAGGTACCTTGGCTGGCAGCTGCAGCACGGAATGCTTTGAAGATGAGGTCGACGATGCGTTGAGAGGTTTCGACGTTGGATCCAACGGTTGCAGCCTTGAGACTAGGTGACAAGAGGGTGTTTGGTGGACAGTAGATCTCGATGGGTGCCAAACATCCTTGGTTCAGGGGGATATCTGAAGAGATCATACAGCGCATACAGTAGATGATGCCAGAGTACATGACAGCTGAGGGTGTGTTCTGCGAAATCAGGTCAGCCTTTGCCGCCATAAATCCTTACAGAGCAGACTCACCAGGTTGTTCAACGCCTCCGGTCCGGTTCCCGTGAAGTCGAATTTGGCGGATCCGTCCTCTCCATTGATGGTCACCAGCAGAGCCAGCGCCGTTCCATCATCCAGGTAGTCAATAGCTTTCAGGGGATGTCCGCGGAACCGGCGGCTGAAGGTCTTCAGCAAGGCCCGGACGCTCTCCTCGGCATTCTTCTGAATCGCTTCCATGTAGAATTCAACCACCGGCCACGAGTATTGTCGGACGAGATCTTGGATTAGGTAGATACCCCGATTGTTAGCAGCAACTGAGGCCTTCAGGTCGGCGATGTTGTCTCGCAATGTCCTCGTTCCACTGCAGCCAGGATACTGCGCAGGCTTTACGTAGAGCTCCTCTACCAAGCCCTCCTCATTGAAGACTCCTCTATCGACCATCTTGAAAGACTCAATAGCAGCACCTTCTTGCCAAAGCTCTGTGGAGTTGGGTGGCATTGAACCGGCAAGGATGCCTCCAATGTCAGCGTGGTGACCTATCAAGAGTTAGCAATTGGCTTATACGAACGAAGCCCATAGATCAAACCTCTGTTTGCCACAAAGAACATAATTCTCGTCGGGTTGTCATTGTCGTCAAAGACTGGCGTGATGACAGTAAGATCTGGCAGATGAGTTCCTCCGGCACAGGGGTGGTTAGAGAGAATGACATCTCCGGGCTTCAGGCCATCTTTGCCGTATTTCTCCGCCTGATACCTGATCGCCGTGCTCATTGAGCCAAGATGACCGGGAATGTGGGGTGCGTTAGCAACAAGTCCGCCGGATGCTGAAAAGATTGCACAAGAGTAGTCCAGTCGCTCCTTGATGTTTGTGGAGATTGAGGTCTTTTGAAGAGTTCGCCCCATCTGCATTGTGTTAGAATTGGCCTTGCAATTACTGTCAGTGGCGGTGACGTACCTGCTCTGCGATTGACATAAGACGGTGACCAAAAACAGACAACTTGATCGGGTCGACCTCATCTGTTGACGTTGTTTTCTCTTCTCGGCTGACCAGGTCAATGACCAGATGTGAGTCCAGCACGACGGCATGGCTGTCTTGATCCAAGATAATCGTCTGAGTCGCGTCAAAAATCACTGCAGGGCCCTGGACTTTGCTCAACTTAGCCAAGTTGTCAATGTGGAAAACAGGCGCATTCGTCCAGCCCAACTTCTCGAAGTATATCCTCTGAGTCTTCGCATTGGTTGCATCGGCGTGAGGGAACTGTTCTGAGCCTGCCATCTGTTCAAAAGGGTTCGATAACGGAAGCTCCATAGCCTTTCCGACACTACGGACTCGGACGTCGTCAACCAGGGTATCCCTCTCCTGGCTGAAACCAAACTCCCTATGATGACGGGTGACAAAGGCTGCGGCGAAATCTCCATCCTCTGGTTCGGGGATCATAAGGGCTGTATCGCTGCCCCGGTACCTCATGTTGAGGAACTTCTCGTGAGACACTCGATGAGCCGGAATTCCCTGAAGCTCAAGGTCCTTCGTTCCTTGCGAAGAGACGGACGCAAAACGCTGAGTCAATCGCTCCTGAGCTTCCGGTCCATACGTCACGGCTTCCGGCTCTTGGCGCTCAGCGACAATATCAGCAAGTGCCATACCAAACGCTGACAGAATACTGGAAAGTCGGTGGATCAGCACGCGATGAATGCCGAGATCTCGGGCAATGGCAACGGCGTGCTGGCCTCCTGCGCCACCGAAGCAAGCAAGATTGTGCGCCGACGCCTCGAAGCCTCTGCTTTCGCTCAAAGTACGGATTGGTCTCGCCATTGTGGCGTTGGCAACCTGAATGAAGCCCATCGCAACTTCCTCCGGCGTGAGCTTGTCGCTGCCATGCTTGTCCCGGTTGACCTGGTCCGTGAGCGCGAGGAACTTCTCTCGGACGGTGTCGACATGAAGTTTGCGGGGGAAGTACTCGGGCAGAATTCTACCAAGGAAGCAGTTGGCGTCCGAGATCGTCAATGGGCCCCCGTTTCCGTAACACGCTGGGCCCGGATATGCGCCGGCAGAGTCAGGGCCGACTTTGAAGAGACCACCGTTCCACTCTAAGATAGACCCACCACCGGCAGCAACAGTGTTGACATCCAGCTGGGGACATTGGATAGGGACTTCGGCAACGGTGCTTTCAAAGACGTGCTCAAGCGTTCCTCCATAACGGGAGACGTCAGTGCTGGTTCCTCCCATGTCAAACCCAAGAACCGGGGTTCCCTCCTTTGCATCATAGCAAGTCTTCGCATATCCAATGACACCGCCAGCGGGGCCGGAAAGAATGGCGCGAAGACCGGTGAAGTCACTGAACTTGACCAGACCGCCATGCGATTGAGAAAGCAAAAGCTTGTTTCCGTCCTCATTCATCAGCTCGCCCTTGAAGCCCTTTCGGAAGCTGTCCAGATAGTTCTCCGTGATGGGTGATAAGTAGGCGTCGGCGGTGGCGGATTGAGCACGAGGAACGATGTTGATCATGGCCTGAAGTTGAGAAGACAATGAGACCTTGAAGCCCATCTCTCTAGCGATTTCGCCAATCTGTAGTTCATGGTCTGGAAAGTTGTAAGAGTGCATCAGCGCGATGGCCAAACTGCGATAGCCCTCATCCCAGACGGCTTGCAAGTCTTTCTTGACGGCGTCTGCGTCCGGCTTCTTGATGCACCTTAGCACCTCACCATTGACGCCGGTGAAGAGACTTGTGTCTGAGGCTGTGTCGATCACGGGGGAGTCCGGATCTTCTGAAGAGCCTTCGACGGTGATTCTCTCATCGACTTCCACGACCTTCTCATAAAGGCGATCCAGTTTCTTCACAGCTAAATCGAACAATCGTGGTCGGGCCTGGTTTCCGATAATGAGAAGGTCTCCGAATCCTTTCGTAATCAGCAAGGCAACTCTCTCGCCCTTGCGCTCGAGTAATGCGTTCGTGGCGACAGTTGTTCCCATGCGTATGCTCTCAACCGGTGCCAAGTCTAGTTGGGTTCCCTTGGGGATTGACGATCCTGTGGCAGTTTCCAAGATGCGCCTGATGCCCTCGGTAGGAGCATCGTCATATTCATCTGGACATACAGACAGAAGCTTGAAGACGAGGTCTTCTTTATGACCAGGAATTCTTGCCCAGCTAAAACGAGTTGCGTGTTAGTTGATCGCGCCTCCCAAGCTACAGAGGTGATGTTGGCTGCTTGCTAGGGATGAACTCACAAATCGCAAAACGTACCGCCTCTGTCTATCGCAATACGAACTCCCTCTTGGGAGATTGCTGATGGCATCTTCAAAGTTGTTCAATAGTGTTGAGCTTGATAGCATCTGCTCAAAACAGCATCCTGCACTCAATTCTCCATGCCTTGTCCTATATTCGATATAAGTCAACTTCAACTCGGCTTCAGCATCATTGTGCCGAGACTCGATCGGCAATGCTTGCCGGCTTATCGAAGCTAAGTCGGTTTGTCAAATGAAGTGCCGATCGAATCTGATAACAGCTGATAAGGATCGGATGAGCTACCCCGGCGACCCTGCGCCAAGTGAGCCTTATCATCTGCGCCACCCTAGCGTGTAGGGCGATAAACAGGCATCAACAGATATGAGGATTGCCGTGGCGCGCCCGCCAACTAGGGGGGATAATAGTTCTCCAGACCTGCTGTTGAGTTGTGCATAGAGATATATCTACAGTAAATGCCGACTTCGGCTTCTTGACGATGCGACGCCAGTTTCCATCTTTGGTCGGCTGCAGGACTGGATTACCACAATGAGTGCAGACAAGCAACTCGACATCAAGACCGGCAGCAGCCAGGATGGCCAGGGTAACGATGTTAGCGAGGGCCATGAGGTTTCTGCCTATATCGACCCGGTCAAGGAGGCTAAGATGATGCGAAAATTCGACGTAAGGAGATTCGTGTCTCGTTACGTGTGTCCATGCTGACCTATTTACCTGTAGATCTGGGCGATCGGTGGCCTCGGAATCCTGTACATGTTGGCCAACCTTGACAGGCTAGTCGGCCATTAACTACTACATCTGGATTCGCAATAGCTAACAGATTGACAACAGGAGCAACATTGGAAACGCGCAGATCGCCGGCCTCCCAGCAGACCTTGGTTTGACTGGCAACCAATATGGCACTGCTGTCACCCTTCTCTACGCTACATATGTGCCATTCGAGGGGCCCGTTGCTATTCTACTCAAGATCATTGGCCCCAAACACTTGCTCACCTTCTGTTGTCTCGCTTGGTAGGTTGCATCCACATGCATTCTAGAAACACGCGAATAACAAGAGCGATCTTCAGGGGTATCGTTTGCTTAGGCACCGGCTTCGTCCATAACTGGCAAGGACTCTACGCTTGTCGTATGCTTATTGGCTTCTTTGAAGCTGGCCTCATTCCTTGCATCAATGTTTACATTGGGATGGTGTACAAGAAGTCTGAAAGGGGCAAGAGGTTGGTTGCACCGAACTTGCTGATGTTCATTTGGCTCATCATCGCTCTAGATCGTCTATCATCTTTGCCTTCAGTGCAATTGCCAGCGCCTTCGGTGGCATTTTCGCATATGCGTTGACTCAAATCCGAACCGGAACATACTTCTCGACATGGAGAGCCCTCTTCATCGTCGAAGGATGCATGACGATTGTCATCGCTCCGCTCTTCTGGCTGTTCTTCCCTGCCACATCAAAGGACGCCTGGTTCCTGACGCCCGAGGAGAAGGAAATGATGAAACTTCGCTACGACTTGGAGCCATCTTTTGGTATTGATGAAGAGTTCAGTTGGAAGGCTGTCATTGATGGCTTGATCGATCCCAAGTTCCATCTCCAGTACGTCTACGATGTAACTTGAAGCTTCTCGTTCACAAAGCTAACAAGTTCAATAGCTGGATCTTCCAGTTCGCTGTCGACATCTCCCTATACGGTTTCACAACATTCCTCCCAGCCATTGTCAATGGCTTGGGTTACACTTCGGTTACCGCGAACCTGATGACTGTTCCCATCTACGTCTGGGGCCTTATCACTTTCCTCTTCACAGCCTACATGTCCGACAAGACTGGAAATCGCGGATACTGGATCGGTGGTCCTCTTGTCTGCCTCATCATCGGATACGCGTTGCTAATTTCCGTTGATAACTTGGGTGTCAGATATTTTGCCTGCTTCGGTGTGTTCCTCCGTGCCAAAAACTTCTCAATGCATCGAACCTTGCTAATTTAAATGAACAGTTGCTGTGATGGGAATTTACCCTACAACAGGAATGAGTCTGATGGTGAGTGGAAATCCTGCGTTGACCATCAACAGATGCTAATCAGTTCAACAGTGGCTCAGCGACAACGCCGCACAACACTTCAAGAGAGCCACCATGGTTGGTGGTGCCCTGACCCTTGGCAACACTGCTGGAGTTGCAGTGGGTCAAATCTTCGTCAGCTCGGACAAGCCCCGATATATCCGGGGATTGTCTATCGCTATGGGTCTCGCGGCAGTCGCATTGGCGTGTGTTGCCGCTCTCATGATAGGAATGCATATTGTAAACAAGAGGCGCGCAGAGAGAATCAGGAAGGCGGAGGAAGAGGGGTCTCCTCTGCCGAGCATCCCCGAGAAGGGAGACTTCGATGTGTACTACAAGTACACTCTGTAATCATAAGCTGTTGTCTGTCGAGCCTCATTTTCGTTTAAACACTTTCAAATAATTAGCAATGACTTTAATGCGAAAGTTTTCAAAAGAAACTCCAACAGAGTATTGCTTTCAAGCTGTCATCTTCAGGAAAGAAACAAAGCCCGAAGATTGGGTTGCATGGACTAACGATAAACAGCCCATGGCGCGCGTTAGCGATGATAGGGGTAGATACAGGGGAGATAGGCCCGGCACTTTCTTCCAATAGCAGCTGTCGTTCCTTATCATGGTTCGTTCCCCCGCAACAACTGGGGTAAGGATGCGGATCTAAATACCAGATCCACTCCAACAGTAGTCTCCACGCCGGATTCTCTCCATTTCGCTGTTCAATGTTGTCGAAAAGCTATGGTAGGTCGGAGTCATGGCATCGCCTAGTGAGTCCTCGGGATTGCGTGCTTCGAAGCGGCTGAAACGCAGCGTCGTAGCTTGCCAACGATGCCACGCTCAGAAGATCAAGTGTACCGGAGGCACTCCGTGCAGGGCCTGTGACAGGTCCAATGATATCGCTGCTTGTCTTTATCCAGTCCGCGAGAGAAAGATCTCAGTCTTGGAAAGGTAAGCTTTGCCAAGACATTTTGAAGATTTAAGCTCATTATTTGCAGCTACATAAAACAACTTCAAGACGAGAATGAGGAGCTTAAGCGGAAGACATCTCTCCCATCTCAGGCTAGTCCGTCAGCAAGCCAGGTGTCGGACCAGATCGTGGTCAACACAGAAGCTCACGAAGAAAAGGAGGAGGAGGAAGAAGAGATCTCCACCGCTGAAGTGGTCCATCCCGTCATTGAACAGCGGATATGTGATCCTGCAGCGCCACGGCCAGTTTATGTCGGCGCTGCCGCGTTTACTGCCTTCGCCAACATCTTATGGCACGATGGCCCTACACCACCACGGAACGTCAAAGTGTTCAAACATCCAACCCTTCAACGCGCCATCAAGACCGACTACAAACTCCCGAACTACACATACGCCAACCTTCTTGTCCAAGTTGTCTTGAGATTTATCGGAAGTGATTACCACTTGCTGAAGAAGAAGTCTTTCTCTCAGAGAGTGGATCGGCTCTACGGCCCCGCAACGGAGCAAACTCCGGACACCATGTTCCTCTGTCGGCTGTTCGCAGTCTTTGCCCTCGGTGAGCTGTATCTCAAAAAGTCGACAAGTCAGCGAGAAGTGCCAGGTGCGAAATTCTTCTTGCAATCAGTGTCGCTATTTGAGGAGTTGTACGAGGAACCCAACATAGAGTACATCGAGACTCTGCTCCTGATGGTGAGTCGCTGATTGAAATGGCCCTGATTCCAAGTGATCTAACATGGGCGCAGTGCTTTTACTCGCATGCCTTGAACAGACAGAACACGGCATACACATATGCGGGCATTGCGTTACGACTGAGTGTCACTATGGGTCTTCACAGGAACATCACGTATGACCCAAAAACGCCCCCAGTTGAGATCGAAAATCGGCGGCGCGTCTGGTGGACCGTATACACCTTCGATCGTCTATGCAGTGCAAAGCTGGGCCATCCGGTGATGATCAAAGATGAAGATATCGATGCCCCATTTCCCTCATCCGACGGCCTTTCTGCCGAGGAGCAGGAGGAGTTCGTGGACGCGGGTCAACTCATCGCCAACATCAGATTGGCCCGCATCACTGGTCTACTTCTAGATCACACTTACAAAATTCACTCGCCCCACGAAAAGACCTTCGTCAGCAACGTCCACAGAATTCTCACGAGTCTGAAGGAATGGGATGCGACACTGCCTCCTGAATTGGCTCTCGACCACAGCAGAACCCCCTCGTACAGCACAAGGGCAGTCGCTTCTTTGCGACTTCACTTCAACCAGGTATGTTACGATTGAAGTCGAGAATAATACTAAATACTGACGACTTTACTTTTTAGTGCGTGGTATTGACAACGAGGCCTATCCTCCTCTTTCTTTTCAAATACTACATGCGCCAATCTCAAACTCCGTCATCGCCATCATCAGAGTCTACGAAGGTGCTGCCGCCAATGACAATTGCCTTGGGAGAGGCCTGTATATATGCTGCTAGAGCATCCAATCGACTCCTGAAGCAGCTCTGGGTGGATGGGGCCATCGCAACCTTCGGATACTTCGATGCTCACTTCATCTTCTCATCCACTATCATACTCATTCTCTCAAACATTCTGAACCCAAACGATGGCGACCGTAACTCCGTCGACTTAGCGTGCACGCTGCTGCAGTCCATGGCCGACGACGGTAATCTCCCAGCCGCCGAACTTCGCGACCGACTAGCAACACTCAAGGAGGACCTCGAGAGCAAGTATGCCACTAGCAGCTGCCAGGTTACAGGTCCAAAACAAGGGTACATGACAGCTGCTGGTACCTTCGCCGCGCACGTTGCCCCGACCTCGAGTCGGCGAAAGGGCGACCCCAATAGATCGCAGACTGGCCAGACACCCTCGACAACAACAAGCCCCGCAGCTGAGGTCTCCTCGGTCGGTAGAGCTCCCTTCGATGATCCCTTTATTCAAGACTTCCTGGGCCAGCCATACTCAGAGTGGAGTCCGAGTGCTTTTGACATTACGAATGATGAAATTGGCGTTTCTTCTTTGGCTTGGGATATCAGAACGACGAATGACATCTAATACGTACGCGGTCTTTGGAGTTGAGGAGCTCTCATGATGTTTCAACTCAGGAAACTACGTTCCATCTCTATATTTATATCGTATTCAGACTTTATTTACCGCAGTCACCTTGGTCTTGTCGCCGAAGAACCACTCTTCAAGGTTCGTGAGCGTGATTTTGTCAAAGTTGTTCCAACTCGTTCCGGAGCAAACACCAATGTGGGGCAAGAGTGTCGTGTCGTAGTTCTCCTTTAGCTTTGGGTTCAACGTGGGCTCGGCCGCATGAACATCAAGACCCAAGCCAACCACGCGCCCTGATTTCATCGCATCCAGTAATGCGTCCTCGTCAATAAGGCCGCCACGTGCAATGTTCACGATACGAACCCCTTCTGACTTCATGATGCCGAATCGACTTGTAGACAGCATGTGCTTTGTTTCCGGTGTTAGTGGACATGCTAGGCAGATGCAGTCTGAGACTCTCAAGAGTGACTCAAGAGATTCATGGTAGACAGCCTCGGCACCAATTCTTTGGAGATCTTCCCGTGGTTTACGATTGTGATAGTGAATCTAGCGAGGCGTTAGCCATTGGTCTTCACGGCAATGCTTCCTATTAACTTGTGTTTACCTTCATGTCCAATGCTAATGCGGCTTTACGGGCAATGGCAATACCAATGTCACCCATGCCGACGATGCCCAGAATCTTGCCCGCAGGATCTACTGCCATAGTGCCTATGCGCCGACTCTCAAGCCATCGATCATTCCGCGCAAGATGTTCTGCGAGAGTGAAGTACCGGAATGAGTTCAGGATAAGGTGCAGAGCCGTGTTAGCCACAGCCTCTGTACATGTATCCGGGCAATTGGCGTAGGTGATCCCCCTTGCCGTGAGGGCAGGGATATCGGCGGCATCATAGCCATGGCCGCTGCAGCAGATGAGCTTGAGCGATGAAGGATATTTTGCGATAGCGGGTCCTCTGAAGAGTTGATGGGTTGCGAATTGCCCAGCTTTTAACCATCCTACCCGGACAATCGCATCGATGGCTGAGTAAGGTCCACCCGGGGCCAGCCGAGAGCAGAATTCTTCCTCGTCTTGACAGTCGTACTTGATGATGTTAAAGCTTGAGCGTATGCAGCTCCACTGTTCTGTTTCGGCACCTCGGACGCTCGATTCGACGAGTAGAATGTTAGGCTTGCTTGCCTTTTGGGATGTTATGCTCCCCATAGTTGCAGGGTTTGTGAGATGGTAAGGTGTGCTGTGCTCGTACCTCCCAAGCAACTCGGATTAGCTCCCGGCCTTATGTCACGAGCCGGAATGTCAGCGCTGGGGGGAATTACCATATGCCTATCGCTGTTAGTGGTGCTGCAATCTGGTCAGGTGCCGATAGCTAGGATGGCGGCTTTGGACACTCGGCACACACGCCGAGATCGGCAATCGGTATCGCTGCCGGTGCGGGGACTGCTGCTGGGCCCATTTCCGGGCCGCGAACGGCAACCAGCGCCGGTAGGATGAAGCAACAAAAGCATCATCACGTTTAAGACAGCTTATTGACGTCTAAGGAGCTGCGAAAGTCTGCAATTTGCTGTCCAATTTCATCAACACGGGCAACTCTCATATCCAAGATGACGAGCTCAAAGGAGCTTCCTCCGGTCGTGGAGTTACTGTCACAACTTATATCAGTCGAAAGCACCAGCGATGAAGAGCTTGAAGTTGGCATATTTCTGGAAGACTACATGAAAGGGCTCGGGTATACGGTCGAGAGAATTGCCATTGAACCGGGCTCAACACGACACAATGTCTACGCATATTTGGGCGCCGAACGGGAGGCGCGCATCCTGCTAACCTGCCACATGGACACCGTGCCGCCCCACATTCCGCTATCGATCGACTTAGACGCGGGAATAGTGAGAGGCCGTGGAGCTTGTGATGACAAGGGCCCTCTGGCCGCTCAAGTCATGGCAATCGAGGAGCTTCGAAAGGAAGGCAAGATCAAAGATGGAGACATCAGTTTTCTTTTCGTCGTGGGCGAAGAGAAGGGAGGCCCGGGGATGATCGCTGCCAACGACATGGGCTTAACCTGGGAGGCTGGCATCTTCGGAGAGCCTACTGAGGGAAAGTTAGGGAAAGGTCACAAGGGCCATGTTGTGTTCGAGTTGACGGCGACTGGAAAGGCTTGGTAAGTTAGGTTTCGTGGGAGTTTCAACGACTGGACGCGAGCTCTAACACGCTACGCAGTCACTCAGGCTACCCCCATCTAGGGAGTAACGCCATATCGTTGTTGATCAAAGCAATGAGCAAATTGGAAACGACGGATTGGCCCTTTTCAGATCTACTAGGTCCCTCGACCTTCAATATGGGCAAGGTTGAAGGAGGAGCCGGGTACAACGTCGTGGCTGCGGAGGCAAAGGCCTTGTGTGCGGTTCGTGTAGCTGCCGATCTACCCCAGATCAAGAAACAGATTGCGAGTGTTGTGCAAGAGTTTCCGGGAGTTGAAGTTGACTTCAAATTTGAATACCCCGAAACTCTATTAGACTTCGACATTGAAGGGTTCGAGTCCGCCCCAGTCAGTTACGGAACAGATGTTCCAAGACTCAAAGGGTCGCATAAGAAGGTGCTGTATGGACCGGGTACAATTTTGGTTGCTCATGGGAATGACGAACATGTCATCATCGACGAATTGTTGGAAAGCGTCGATGGATACAAAAAGCTTACACTACATTTTTTGCAATGACCAAACTATTTCCAATACCATCTTCTATCCAGGAAAGGCAATGGCTAGCCATCATAGCAAGCGTACCAGTTGACCCAGGTGACTGGTAATGCTTCCTATTTGTTAAGACCGAAGAGGGGTGTCTGCAATTCTTGTACTTGGGTGATTTTCAGTAGCATTTGAACAATATTTTGCCGTGGAAACATCACAGCTTCTTGTGACTGCCTGCGGTGACTGATTCAGATATCGTTCTCCAACTCAACTCCCAATGCCTTGCTGACTGATGCCTGCAACGAAGTAGGCATGGACTTTCTTACATCCCTAAATAGCGTTACTCTATCGTCCTCTGGAATCGCGTGGAAAAAGTCGTTGACAGCGACGACCATGTCTTGAGCGTTGGCCTCCATGACAGTATTCCACCCGCCAGCGTATCCGAGCCTCTTGATCAAACTGACCAGATTCCTCCCCGTTCAACTGCGGTGACTTAACCTCCTATAGTAGTCCTCATCATACTTCAAGCGAGTGAGGAGTACGACCAACGGCGAGCATGCAATGGTACTATGGTCGTCAATTGCCAGTTTTGCACCTTTCTCAATGAGTAATTCAATTAGGCGAAAGTCATCTTGAACGTCTTCAGAGCTAGTTGAGCTGATCAAAAAGACCAACGCCAGGGTTCCGACGGGGCATTGCGATAGAAACTCGACACCCTTGTCGCCAGGATGCAGCCATTGCGACGGGGCATCGGGGATACTCTTCGCGACGAGCTGGACCAACTGCGGGACATTCTCCCTCGGCAAAGGGCTGTCAATCTCAAATTTTTTGATATCAAAGAATTTCCTCAGATGTATCCCTTGATTCAGTTTGACGCCATTGGTGACGCATATAATGATGAAGGACGCCTGCATTTCAGCAAGAAAATGACGTTCCCATCCAGCTCCCACGAGGGAGGCTGCTTTCTCCGTGAGGTAAACGAATTCGTCTAGGATCACGAATGGAGTTTTCGTGATGGATGTGATCGAATATCTCATGTAATTTATCAAGTTTGCGTTGCCCGTTCTCGCGTAACTTCTCAAGGTGTAAACACTTTCTTCGTGCCTTGGCTCGAAGGCAAATGCTGCGAGTGAAAGCTTCAGGCTCGATTCATAGCGCACATGCCCGTCGTCGTCAACAGTTTCGATCCACATTATGTCTTTTACTTCTTTCATGGTGGCAGAGCAGCAGTCAGCGTCAAAAGCGAGGGCGAAGTCGAGGGCGTTGTAGTGTGACACGACGGCATCGTTGTCCACACGGAGTTGCCATGGCTTGGTCGCATCAGCCCCGTGAGACAGCAATTACACGACCATGGACTTGTTCTTCGCCGCAATGGCATGGTGTAGCGGTGTCGCGAGATTGTCATCTAGTCTGTCGATGTCCACACCCCATTCTCTCGTCAGGTATTTGACTAGAGACCTGTTGCCGAATGCCGCTGCAACGTGAATTGGGTGTATGTCCTGGACGAAGGCTTTCCGGGCTGGATCATGAAACCAGGCGAAAGGTTTATGCTGGTCACCATGTTCGGTTGCTTCGCTATCTTGTAACTCTGTGAACTCCTTTGGGTACGAGGCGGACCCAACCGGTACCATCAGATTGCGATTGGCCCCAGCTATGAGTAGAAGCTTGGCAACTGAAGTATGTCCACCGTAAATTGCGTGGTGTAGAGGTGTCCAAGCAGGGTGATCGGACATTGGGTGGCGATGGTCTGCGACCGGCCTGGGTACTGGTACACGACTCCCCACAGGCCTGCAGTCGCAGATAAGTCTGCCAGCGGCGTTGATATCTACCCCCTGCGCAACAAGCCATTTAACAACATGGCAATGGCCCTTATGCGCTGCCAGATGAAGAGGTGTGGCCCAGCAAGCCTGGGGTGGGAGATGTTCCCGGAGTGCGGACGCCCATCTGTGTTCCACTTCTTCTGTTGGGTCTGCGAGATAGAAATCCTGGAGTCTTGCACCATACTTGGCTGCGACCTGCAGAGTTTCCAGATTGCCCTAGGCAGCGGCGAAAATAGTGATCTCAGAGGCCCAATGTTTGACAGCAGCACGGTAAAGCTCGGCTTGGAAGATGCTATGAAGGTAGCGATTGACCCGTGCAAGGGCTGCCGTCCTGGTCTTTGATCTGCTGCGAAAGTGTCGGGCTATCTCGAGCCATAGCTCCGGAACAAGTAGGGAAGCTTCCACCATGACTGTTCTGGCGATGACGCGTTGCCGTCGTGGTGAAAGGGGTCGGTGTGAACTGAGTTGCCGTGAGTGCACATGGGCTAGGGTTATTGTCAGCAAGTTCTGCACGAATCTCATATGACGGTCGTACAGTTGGAAATCTACCCTCGAAGAAGTAGAATATTGGCGGATCTAGGTGAATGTGGCCACCGTACGCAAGGGTGGTCAATTGGAACCTGGCCCAAGATGTTGATCGTTCACGTCGTCAGTAGAGAATGTGAACTTATTAGGGGCAGGCACGGATAAATGGCGGATCAGTGGGGCCTCTTGCGTGATCCAATTGGATTGCTCTTTTGGTGGCTTGGGACCTAAGCAGTGCTAGCGGCCCTTCAACAAGGACGTGTGTTTCTTGTACAACAAGCCTGTGGATTCTTGTAGTTCAATTTGAAGTCGAGGCGACTGCAAGCTCTACCCTATATCAGTGACGATAGCATGAAACATAATTGTATATTGCTTTTTGAACCGTCGGGTCGAAGCCTTCGTCGTACCCATGCAGCAGTTTACCGCCTGCTGGGATCCCTTTTCGGACTGTTTAGCGTTGATGGTAGCGAAGGCTTAGACACATGCAGAGTTGAGATCACGACCACGGATGGAATTAAAGGCTTTGGTAATCCAGTTTGTCACTTAGATTATATTCATGGATCAAGACATATCAAGAGTAAAGTAGTTGGAACTATCGATTGATGGCAAACGTCTCACTTCTTTACTCGGAGCCCGAGTTTACCGCATGCCGCCAGCATTGACCGGGTTCCCCGCAATTTTTAGCACCGAATGTCGCCTATGAGCTCCCTAAAATCAGTGCATTGAAAAGAAAAGATATGCCACTCTACTTTCACGTTTCCAATCACAAGCGTCAAGTAGCTCGTCTTGAGAGCACCCACCATGGCCAGTATGTCATCATTAAACTCTGGGCTTGTGTCCGAAGTCACCACTCCCGGTTCCAGATCTCGAAGAGGGTAAGACATCTCATCCAACTGCTTGAGCAGCACCGAGGCTCCGCCCTGCAAAGTGCCTTGGCACATCACAAAGGTGGATACGGCTGCGGTTCCCCTTTCCCGCCTATCTTTCTGACCCCTAGTTGATGGGATAAAGCTCTCGAGAACTGATGTGCTCCAGGTGTTGGACGTGTAAGAGGCGCCGTAAAAAATGCGACGAGATCAAGCCGAGCTGCAACCGATGCGCACATGCAAACATTGCATGCGAAGGTTATGAGACTCGATTGACCTGGGGCTCATCGAGCGGAACGACTTCCAAAGCCGGCATCATCCTCAAGCCAGTTCGCCCGCAGAGCTTGAGTAGAAGGGTCGCACAACAGCGAAAACAGTGGGTAGAAAGCGTGCAGACTATATCTGACAGTGGTAGTTCGGACACTACATCACACGAGGATCGTCAAAGCTCTTCTATGACAGCCTCAGACAAGTCGAGAAGTCCGTCTGACAAGGGTTTGCTTCCAGCAGTTGATGGCACGATAACAGAATTGCTGGTCGATCAATGTATGCTAGTGCCATTTAATGGAACTTTCTACGGGCGGCTGACTTCGATAGTCTGCGAAAGCGGATATCTGACTTTGACCGGAAGGTCTGGCGACGGAGGACTCATGAAGTCAGACATTCTACCCATGAGAAAGACTTCGACCTCGCTCTGCAATACCTTCGCAGCATATCAGGCGAGCCTGACCAACGAATACAGGCATCTGATGCCGGTTTATCTACAGCTTGGTATATCGGGTTACATCAATGACCTTCAATCCCCAGACAACCTTCATCGAGACGAAATTCTTGCCACGGGAGTCCTCTTATGTAGTGTTAGCGTAAGTTTCGATGAATTATCCTCTACTTGTGATAGAGTCTAACGATTGCATGGTCAGATAAATGGGCTATACAAGTGGACTACCTTACTCAAAGGACTTCATACCGTGTTACAGCAGCGAAAGCTTTTAGAGACAACCACTCAATCGCCCCTCGTCGGTCATCTGATCGAAGTCATCGCACTTCTTGATGTTCCACATTTTACGTTAAACCGGAGCACGGAGTCGCTAAAGATATGGCCCGCATACTTTGCTCAGCGTCATTTGACGGGAGTCCAAGAAACCTCTGGCCTGCCGTACTCTCTTCTAGACCTCATCTGCAATATGGACTCTCCCGACGCTGAACAGAGACTTCGCAACTGGCCTGGAGAGCTGTGCCGTGAACTTGTCCAAATTCACTTGTGGGAAGCCTTCCGCACTGCGGCAATACTCCATTGTAGCGCCTTACGGCCTGCGACAGAGAATGAGGAGAATAGTGCAGCGGCGGGGTTTGGCGACGAGCTTCTTGAGATGAAGGCATTGGCTGCCTGCCAAGCTGTCATCGACTCGAAGGGTGACTCGTTCCCTGGTGTGCCACACCTAGCTGCTGCACTTATGTACCCCCTCTTCATAGTGTGCCTGTCCACTAAGCAGGACACTGTTGCTCGGTCTCTTTCGCGAGATCTCTTCTCGGACATGGTCAGGAGATGGGGAGATCACGAAATTAGCCTTGCTTGGGACATTGTCGTCGAGGTTTGGCAGAGGTCTACAATGCAACCAGGGGTTTGTCGGCTGAAGTTGGCGGAAGACTTTGTCGCAGAGCTGGACATTGAGATGTATTTGTACTGAAGGTTTTCTGTTGTTTCTCAGAACTTCACGGTCTACGATATGTTACAGTCGTTGGATACATGTACTCAGCGCAGGATTTGTTAACAGGTTACGCCAGCTTCAAACTTTCAATACGTAGCATGGCACAAGATCAGTTCCAATCGCTGTCGATTATCCGAGTCTAAGGTAACGGTCTCGACCACAAACTCTGTGTCAAGTGATTTCTAAAGGATGCAGGCGATTTTCGTCCTCTACCATAGGTATGCGAACGTTCGGATCATGTTTGAACAACGTTCGACTATCACGTCAGGAGCTATCCGCGCCACACCTTAGGTATTATCTCGAAAATCTGACAGCTTCGGGTAGGAATGCTGCTTGAGCCTCAATGGTCTCAGCAACCAGCCAAATCATCGCCGTGCATGGCGTTTTTGCCCGATTTGCTGTGTTGTACTTTGCGGGCCCAATCGAATCCTGGTCATGAATGCAGCAATCTTACTTGAATCGCTCTCTCTGGGCAAGAAGACTTCCTCCTTCGGTAAGCTTACCATCCCAGACGTCTGCCACCTACAACTCCTTCCCGTGCGTAAGCTTATCATACGTAGTCAACGACACGAACAAGCTCATTTGTCCGTGAAACGCCCAGGCTGAAGCTTCCGCACTTCGGGATTGGCTTGAACTACGTGTCGGTCTGCCGGATGCTGTCGCGGAACACACACTCCGGCGGTATCGACGAATTCGATCAATAACCCCGAGCTTTATCAAAATTCTCAGCGTGCAACATCCGTATTGGTGCTCTGTTTGTCGCGATAATCATCGCAGATTGCGGCGCAGCCACAGGGTTCCGTCCTTCCTTACGGGCGTACTGGGGGCGGCCGTCACGTACGTTGGTCCGGCCGTGGTGCTGAATGGGTTTGTTGGCGCCACATGCAACGTTCTGTTGGTGCTTCACGCGGCCCCAATGTAGCATTCGAGGGCGAGTTTGCGGCGACAAACAGTCTTTGCCGCTGCCGTCGGCGTTTTCGGCTCGCCCCGTTAAATGTCTTTATTTTTAAAACTTAGTGTTGCAATGTGCGTCCGCCGTTGGTTGCTTCGCTGGAACATGGGGGTCTGCGGCTGTGGCTCGACTGGGGGCGGCGGGCTGCAAACTGCATGTCGACAATCTGTTGGTGTTGGTGAAATGTGAGGATCGAGCCGCCCGCCCCCATTCATCACAGATAACAATGCGACGCCTCCCGTGTCTTCGACGGCAGCGGATTTGGTATATTTGCCTGGTGTAGACACCTGACTTGAACGTTTCTTGTGCCACGCTTGTCTTCAGCCTACAACATCCAAAGCACTCTTTGCTTCTTCTGGTTGTGTAGTCATTCAATCAAAGTCTTCCTCTTGTCTGTTTCGTTCCAACATGGAGACTGAACGGAAGCCCACGCCAGACCCTGTCGATGACACCGAACGCGCGAGCACCCATGTTGGCAGTGTGGCACCTGAAGCCAAAGACGTGGAAAGCGTCACTTCAGAGAGCAATCATCCCAGAGAAGGTTGGCCAGCGTGGCGATGGCCGTGTATTCAGGGTGCATTCTGTCTGGTTGGACTGCTTCTTGGTCAGCATTATTTCCATTAATGGCCAGAAGGTTTCGTACAAGACTAACACAAATCACTCGACGGATAGGCTACGATGTCAGTAACACGGCGAACATACAGCCCCCGATCTACGAGGCATTCGGCCAGGTCCATCTCCTGTCATGGGTTGCCATAGCTTACACAGCCATGAACGTCGCAACGGTCCCTCTCGCCCGCAAGATTGTCGTCCTTGGGAACCTGAGGTACCAGGTTCTCGGATATTCTCTCATCTTTTTCATCGGCTCTACAGTGTCGGGCGCAGCTCCAAACATCAACACGGTGATCATCGGTCGTGCAATTCAGGGAATCGGAGGAGCCGGGCTATACCAATTGTGCGTTTTAAGTCAACCACTCCAGAACCCTACCGTTTGATGCTGAGACTGTTTCAACAGGAGTATCATCATCAACATGACTTTGACTACACCTACGGAGCTCCCACGGACACAAGGCCTCTTAGCCGTGTCCTGGGCCATTGGCCTCACGCTGGGTCCCGTTATCGGCGGTGCCTTTGCCGAAAATCACAAGGCTACATGGAGATGGGTGAGTATTTCTTCACACGGAGAATGACCGTAAAAGATCTGATACGTTCACATAGGCCATGTACATCAACCTCCCCATGCTAGCCATCATCATGGTCTGCAACCTCCTAGCCCTGCCGAACATGCACGCACCCGGCGCGTTGCCCGTTATCGAGGGCTTGCGCGTTGTTGACTGGACGGGCGTAGTCCTCCACGTAGCGTCTTTCATCTTGCTCTGCTCGGCCCTCATCTTCAGCGGGTCCAAATGGGAATGGTCATCGCACTCAGCCATTATCGCCTGGGTGTTCGTCGGTGTCATCTACCTCGCCTACGCCTTGCAGCAGAAGTTCTGCTTGCTCACCGACAAGACACATCGCAACATCTCCGCCGACCTCCTGAAGAACCGAGCCGTCATCCTCGTCTGCCTCGCCACCTACGCCGTCGGAGGCAGCTACGGGATCGCCCTGTACTACACCCCCCTGTTCTTCGCCTTCACCAAGGGCTTCGACCCCGTCGATGCAGCTGTCAGGCTTCTCCCGTTCATCTTCACCTTCATCTTCTTCACCATTGTCATGGCGGGCATGATCCCCGTCGTCGGCAGATATGCGCCTTTCTATGTCATTGGCGGTGCCCTGACCATCATCGGAGGCGCCCTCCAAGCCCAGATTACAGCCACGACCTCAGAGAGCCGCGTGATGGGCGTGAGCAGTCTCATTGGGGCAGGAGTCGGTTGCATGTGGCAGACGGGAGTATCAGTCATGGCGCAAAGCGTGCCCGCACACAGACGACTGGATGCTACTGCACTCTTCATCATGTTCCAGCTTGCGGGTGTCTCGGTGACTTTAGCTCTTGCCGGCTGCATCTTCCAGAACATCGGTTTTGATAAGCTGAAAGACTCGCTCGACGGGCTGGGTTTCAGCGACCACGACATCCGAGAGGCGCTGGCTGGACTCGACTCCAAGATCTGGAGTGATGCTGACCCGCGGGTTGTAGGAGCAGCTGTGAGTGACGTCGCAGATGTGATCGCCAATAACCAGTATCTCATTGTGGCCTGCGGGATCGTTGCCCTGGTCAGCGGTTGTCTCATGAGTTGGGAAAAGTTGGACTTTGGTAAGACCAAGATAGCCAAGTGATGTGGTTCAGTGCTGTTTGGTGTTGCATACCGGGCTCAGCAAAGTTTGTCAGGCAGCCCTCTCAATTGTTCAAAATCGGGAGGTGAAGCGGGAAGTTGGCAAGGATTTAGATAGGCTATGTTTCCAAAAAGAGAACAGACTGTGAATTCGAGAACTAGATGCATAGGCCGTGACACGTGGACTAGTGAAACGAAAGGCTAAGATTAAACCCCCAGAACTCCGGACTCCATACTAATGAAATTAATTGCAACCAATCCCTCCTCTTATCGCTTTTCACTAGACACATAGCTTCCACCCCAATCCAAACTCACTCAAGAGTCCCAAATGGCACCGTAGGCAGGAACACCTCGGGTCTCGAGACCATAGACCACCTTCTTGGTGATCTTCTCGTTCGCAATGATGATGACAGCCTCCGCATCAAAGCTCTTCGCCAGGTTGTATCCCATCTTGACCAGGTCAGGACGGCCAGACACCTTGGTGTCGTGGATGACCGCGTTGGGGATCTTCTCCTTGATGTTATCGAGCAGCTCCTTTCCGAAAGTCTGCTCGGGCTTCGGCGTGGACCAGATGAGCTGAGTCGCACAGCTCTGCTCCTGGATATGGCCGAGAAGAGGACCAATGCCGGAGCCGGTAGCGATGACGACGATGCGGTTGAAGCAGGTGGCAATGCGCATGACACCACAGGTCGGGACACCGCGCACCCAGATGTGCGTGGGGGGCTTCTGGATGGCGTTCTTGGTCCAGTCGCCTGCGTTAGAGACGACCAGAGAGAATCCCTTGGGGCGTCCTCCCACAGGCCTGGGAGCTGGGATGGTTGCGAAAGAGTGCCACTCGAGGAGAGGTCTCATGGAGAGGCGGGCGAAGCTGCCGTTGACGGGGACGGTGTAGTCAAAGTGAAGTCTGGCGGCGTGGTTGGAGAGGACCTCGGCGTCGACGGGAACCTTGCGGAGGAAGAACCAGGATGACGCGATGCTGAGGGTTGCCAAGGCGAGCATCCAGAAGCCAGGGGTGCGGACGCAGGCTTCGCCGAGAGACATGGATGAGACCTTGCCGTCGTTGGCAGCGAGCACGATCTGAGCCCAGAAGAGGCCGAGCATAGTCCATCCTACAAAGCGATGGGTCTTCTCGAACATGTCGTGGTGCTTCTTCCTGAATCCGGGCCAGGCCAGGGCGATGGTGATGGTGAACAGCCCGGTCAGCAACCAAGAGATGACCTTGGAGGCGATGGATTGGTGGCCCCAGTTCGGACACTCAGTCAGTTGGCAAACCTCAGAGCTGATGTTTGACGCGAGCAGCCAAGCACCCGCAGAGACAGCCGCGCCCGAGTGAACGCCACCAAAGTGGAAGATCTTTGCGCATCGCTTCCTGATGCTGAGGGGCCAGGACTTGGGGACGTTGCAGGTGATGGTGTACATGGCGTTGATGACAAAGTCTTGACGTGCCAAGACGGCGACGAGGAGGTTGATGGCCGTGAGGGTACCGAGCCAGTCTCTGGTGAAGCCGGCAAAGATGAGGGCGATGACGGCGCCAATGTTGAAGAGCCCGACGATCGTAAACAGGCGGCGGTAGACGATGGCGATGCGGTGGACGAAGCCGCGGTAGGGGCGATCCAAGGTCTTTCCGGGAATTTCGCGGTCGAGGTCGAGCTTCTCGTCGATCTCGGTGAAGCTGGACGAGGAAGACTGGGACTTCTCGTCGGCGGTGGTGGACTGGCTGTCCACGGAGAGGGACTCCTTGGAGCTGGTCTCTCTGACGGTGACGTTGGGCTCCTTCTTGTCGATGGTGTCCTCGGTGACCATGTCCTTCAGAGCCCGCTTATCCACCTTGCCGTTTGAAGTAAGGGGCAAGGCATCGAGGAAGTGGAATTTTGTTGGGACGGCGTAGTAGGGCTGACGGGCGCGGACGTGGACCTGGATGGTGTCGAGGTCGCAGTCCTTGGGGGCGACGAAGCCGTGGATCTCGTTGTCGATCAGGAGGGCAGTTGCCCTTGAGACGACGGGGCATGAGTTGATTGAAGAGGTGACTCCATCGAGTTCGACTCGGAAACCCTGTACAGGTGCTGTTAGCGAGGATGTAAGACGGGAATATGACACAAGTCTTGCGCACCTTGATCTTGATCTGGTCATCGACTCTTCCGAGGATGTCGATCGACCCGTCTTGCCTCCATCGTCCAAGATCTCCGGTGTTGTACATCATGGATCTGTTTCGAATGGTCAGCAATGTACCCAGCGCTAGCAACAAAACTACTTACCCGTCATTGGCGAAAGGATCAAGTTTGTATCTCTCAGCCGTTTTTTCGGGGAGGGAGACGTATCCCCGAGAGATGCCATGTCCACCGGCCCACATAACGCCGGGCTCACCAACCCCGAGAGAGTTTCCTTCATCATCGAGAACATAGACGGTGTTATTGGGGGTTGGCTTGCCAATGGTCAAGGTCTGTCCTGGTTGGTGGAGGTGCATGGTGTTGACAATCGTTGTCTCGGTAGGACCACAGCAGTTGTAGTACTTTGCGTGAGCTCCCCAAAGATCGGCAAGTCTAAAGCAAAACCAAATCAGCGAATTATCAATAAGGTAGAATTTCGTGGCGTTTGACTTACCTCTGGGAACTAGGTTCGCCGGCGGTCGCAGCAACCCGGATGTTGGAATATTCCCGGGGATCGTACTTGGCCAAGATGCTGGGTGTGCAGATCAGAACTTGGATCTGGGGATAAGCTCGAGTTAGTTGCGCTGATCTTTGTGAGAGAAATCTGTGGCGTTTTTCTTCGTACCTCTCGGATGCAGGGTTCCCATTTTGAGCCTCGAAGAACCAGGGTTCCGCCGTTGCAGAGGCAACCTAGCATCTCCCACGCCGCTTTCAAACTAATCAGCAAAGTTGTTTTTTGTGAGACGGGCTTTTCTTTTTGGCAACTTACCCATGTCGAAACTGATATTCAGTACCTGGCCCACTCTGGTACCGGCCGAGATACCCAGATTCCCGGGCGACAGGCACACCAGGTTAGTCACGTTCTTGTGGGTGACATCCACCCCTTTCGGAGTACCCGTAGTTCCTGTAAAGACAATTCGTCAGTAATCGTACCATGGTGTCTAATTGGCAGCTGGCCAGATCGCGTACCTGAAGTGTAGATCACATAGCAGCCGTGGTGTGTCTCAGCTAAGTCCTGATAGGGCAGGATTTGCGCATGCTCGGGATCCTTCTCCCGCTCTTCGTCAATCACCAAGGTCTCACAAGGCACCCCGAGGGTCTCGAAGCGATGTTTTGTCGAGTTGAGGCAGAGGACGTGCTTGCCTCCGGCCTGCTCGAGGACGAAGCGGAGCGTAGAGTCGGGAACCACACCACCATCGAGGGGCACATACTGCGCTCCACAAGACAGGATCGCAACAATGCCAACCAACATGTCAATGCCTCGCTTTACGACAAGCGGGACACGATCTCCGGGTCTGACGCCAAGCTTTGTCAGTTTCCTGGAGAGCTGGTTGGCTCGACGAGCGAGCTCGCCGTATGTGATCTCTCGAATCTGGGGTGCCGACAGGTCGCGGCCTGCAGTGACATCAGGCTGAGTCTCTGCATTATGATAGAAGGCGGCGGTGACGGTGGGATAGTTTGCTGTGATTCGTGGTCCTTGGGTGAAGGAGAGGGGAGGCGGCCCAACCGGAGTTGATGCCGAGTCTTTGGCCACTTGGTTCTGCATGTCTGCTGGCTGCGTGGCTACTAAAATAGCAACAAAAGAGCAACGGGGCAGGGATAAATTCCAAATGAATTCCAAATGATGATGTCGACTATTCCAAATCCTCACTGATTCGAGGGAGTAAATGCTCCTGTGGTCCGGGTAGAGTCATCCAACGTCGGCGGTCCCTCACGACTTTAAATATCTTGACAGACCTCCTTGGGCCACCGTTGCCCAACCTTCCCTCCTTGAGACAATTTCTCGCCCTTCCCTCGTCGACACATCGCCGGTAACCTTCCGAATGCGTCAGGGACGAATGCATCGAGACCGGATGCAAGAGACGTGAAAATCTCTCAACGTACAGCCGTCTTGAGTTGCATCAACCACCAGGGTTCGCCGCGCGAATCCTCCCATCACGACCGGCCCTCCAGATCCACACGCCTACACCGCAGGCCGTTGATTGACACATGAAAACGCCTCCTTCCCCGTTGAGAAGGTCATGCAGGCGGCGCCGTGAGAAAGCCATGTCCTTGTCCGACCACGGGTTGAACCTGGCCGTTGACCTCTCAAACAGGAAACTTGGACAGCGCCTTGCACATCAACCAGCCTCGACCACAAGCTACAACGTTCCGCCCCCTCACACCCGCGATGGCTCCGTCGTCAAATCTGCAAGTCTGGACGGGATATCATGCAGTCCTGGTTCCCCCCTGCGCCCTCTCCGCCCCGGAAAAACGTGGAACCTAGTTGTGTGCTTCATGCAGGCACTTTCACAAACCTTCTTTGCGACCTTGAAGGGTCTGCCCGTCTGTCGTCACAGCAAGTCCACAAATGACATCGACACAACGCACTCTGCCATCAACGGCCCCGGCCAGCGGAGTGGATACCCTCACTGCCGGTGGGCGGAGACCAGACGAGCCCGTTGGTGGTTGTCGCAATTAACCACCTTCTCGGCCGAGCCTGGACCGTCTGCCCGCCGGAATACGAGCCCGCAAAAAATGAGACGCAGCGTGCCATCGCTTGCTGGCTACCGGCATACGACAGTAGAGAATCCCACTGTGATCGGCCAGTTCAGAAGATCGTGCGGACGAAAACTGGGACCTCGTTTGGAGTTTCTCTATCAACCTGCTTGCTCTGCTCTTTGGCGCGACGAGGCGGGACGCGGCCCACGACGGGCAGCTCGGGATCGACTCGGAGGATCGTCAGAGAGCCATTTTCAGGGCAGCTTCCTTGGAACGAAACCACCTTCGCGTCTGCAGGTTCCCTTGACTCTGGTCCTATGACCGACGAGCTCGCCGTTTACGAAGAGCTTACTGAAGCTACCCAAGGCACCAATCCTACGCCATGTGGAGGATCCCCCCGAAGGTCCAGATCGAGATGGGGGGGCTGCAACGCAATCTAATCAATCTGCATGGGGTGGGCTCGAGTGGTGTGATTTTCTGCCCCCGCGATCCGCGCCTGGTCAAGCTTGTTTGGAAGCTCCCCTTGTGCAATTTTTTTGTTTACCTCGAGAGTACCTCGAGAGAGGGAGTGAGAGCAGCAGTACTCATCGTTCCTGATACCGGACGCAGACCCGGTCGGTGTAACCCATGGGGCCGACCGTCCGTGGGGGGAAACGATTTAGACGCGGACATCTCGATTCCGTTTACGCTACAACATCCCGGGGTCGAAGGGCCATTCCCAGTCCGGAACTTCTTTGCTGCCGCTGCAACCTCACGTCACTCAGCCGAAGCGAAGCTCCCCCAACGACAACAAGGCGGCCGTTTCTAGAGGCCCAGGACAAGAGACCAGACTTGCCGGCGCGGCACAGAAGAGGAAAGGGAAGCACACCATCCTGCCACCGAAAGACGCGGATCTGTCGCGCCTAAATTCGACAAACGTCACATGCAAGGAATAGCCAACGTCTCGGCTTGCATTTGGCAGCATCTTTGCCAAGATGATGAAGATGACAGATGCTGATGTAAAGAGAAGAATCAAAAATATTGAAGGGACAACCAGAACAACCGTTTGCCAGCATCTAGGCATGTAACCGACATATGCGCGCGCGGCGCGCGGGCTGCGATCTCATTCTCCTCCAACCGGTTTTCGCAAAGACGTTTCAACGATTTTTTTTTCCTTCTTTCCGCCAGTCATCACCACATCTCCAGACTCCAGAGGGGTTGCATCCAGACGAAAAGAACGCAATGCGGACGATCACCTCGCAGTTGCCGCAACGAGCCATCTCCTCCGAGCCGTTTGCGCCGTCCATTCTGCATCGAAGTCCCGACCGCGGTGGAGTCCCACGGAGCTGGTGTGGGGTGGCCTCGCTGCGGGTTGTGTTTCCTCGCAGCTCCTGTCTTCTCTCAAGGTTCCTCCTGGGTTGTCAAGGTAGCTGCAAGGTGTATGTGTGTGGTCTGGAATGCTGCGCTTGGGACTGCATCTCGAACAGAGTTGCATCTCATCTGCAGCTTTCTTCTTGGTAGGTAACTTGGTCAACTTCGCGCCAGCTTTGTTTGTTTTTCTTTTCTTCTTTTTTTTTCTGCGGATCTCGTCGACAGACGATTTGCTTTCTTGTTCCGAGTCATTTTCGAACTTGCGCAAAAGGTCCCCTTTGTGACGTCGCTTTTCTTTTCTCATCCCACCCCCTGGTCTCCTGCGACCGCCAACCGATGTCGGAATAACAACAGAGGTGGCTGGGAGCAACTTCCTGTTCCACGTCCACGCGCGCATGCAGGAAATATTGAGGTGTTGAAGGATGCAAGGCATCTTTGCAGTCTCCATTCCTGCATTCACATGACAAGACGATATCACCTGGCTTTTGAGGAGGCGTGGCGGAAACCGATGATATCTCCGTTCGGGAGAGGATCATCTTGCCGTGATTCCATCTCTCTTCTTGGCAGAATGTCTTGGCAAAATAACAGACAACACGACATTCCCATCATTAACGAAAGGCGTTTGAGATTCTCATGGCGTCCTTGATGATGATGGCTGTCGAGTTTCCTGCGGTAGGTCCTATTCACAGTTTCTGTCTTCTTAGTGTAGAACGTGTAAGCTCTGTGAGGCCCAGTTTAAGAGTGAAGAAAGGTACTCCCTCCCACATTCCGGACTTGATTTTTGGGAGCAATTTCAATGTGCCGTGGAAAGCTACAGTAGTCCAATCCTCAACAGCCTGCAGAACGATTATCATGACTTTTCTGGATTTCCTCCATGAGCTCACAATTGTGATAAGTAAATCTTCTGTAATAAATCAAAACTCTGAGTGATGCTAATGATTCAAGATTTGACATCTGAAAACATGGGAAAGGTATGCCCTTGACGTATTTGCCTAAAGGTGTGTATCTCTTCAATCATTTTGTTCTACGAGTTACCATGATATGAAATAAATTGCTCGAGAGTGGACTTTTCGCGAGTGCTTGCATATTACATGGAATTAGATTCCTCAGAAATAGAACCCATCGAATTCAATAGTTTAAAAATACTTCAAAGGCTTCGAATGATCAAAAGTCGACGATGAAGAAAGGAGACCTTTTCAGAGTTTCTATTTCCCGCTTTGGAAGCTGAGTGAATGTCAGCGCCTTTGTTCATTCTTCAAAGATAACACTGGCTCCTTCCAGTCTTGTCTAGCAGCTTTGCTCAAATTGCGGAACAATGGAATACTGCGAATACGCTTCTGCGATCTGAGCTTTGATCAAAACAAGCCTCATTCAGGCAGCGACCTCTCCACCAGGACAATATGCTGATTTTTCCCACCTCCAAAAGCATCAATGTAGACTTGCGACCACAGTCCAATAGCTACGCCAGCCATCTGACAGATGGACCATCGCCGACGGCGTCGTGGCAAAATGAAACCTCGTCCATCAAACTCTGGCAGTGGTGCCATTCCTCCACCTAATCCGTCTCTGCAGCAGCCGCAGCAGCAGCCGAATCTCAATCCATCCGCAAGATCCTTCACTCCTGTCGCGATTATGCCACCGGTGGCACCTTCCGCTTACTCGCCTCCCGTTCAGCACCAAGGTACGTCGTCAAAACACGGAACGCCGCTCCCCCACGATATCGCCATCCACCCACACCAACACAGAGACACACGCGCGCATATCCCCCACCACTCCCCACTCACATCGGGATCTCCCCCTGAGATCCCACCTTCTCACAGCGGCAGGAGATCGCTAACATCCGAATCTGCAGTCGAGCTGGTCTACCACCAGGCCAAAGCCGCCGAGGCTGCAAAGTTGATGGCCGCACGCGCCCACGGTATGATCTCCAGTCCCCTTTGCAGTCCGCACACCACTCCGGCGTTGCCCATCCACCCACTTCATCTCACATCTGCCGCCCGCGTCTCATCGCGGTCGCGTTCCTGCCCGTTCCGGTTGAGCCTCATCGACCTCCTGCGGCCCCCTTCGAATCCCTCCTTCTCATCATGGCCTGGTCCTCCGTTCTGACAGTGAAGATCCAGCCCACACGCCTCCCACGAGCGGCTCCGACCAGTTGCATGTGCTCAAGAAGCGTCGCATCTCAAACGCCCTCAGCGGCCCGTTCGACAAGCCACCTTCCCGCTCCGCGTCTGCGCCTAACGCAGCTGGCGTCGCTGTTGATCATCACGGCATCCCGAAGACCCCGCCGAACCGCAGCGTCCAGCCTCAGACTACGACCCCCACGCCGCCCGCCTACACATTTGACGACGACGACATTTTCTTCCCGAATGCCGACAAGCCTCTTGTGAAGAGCGGTCGTGGCAAGAAGAAGGCCCCGTGAGGCCGAAAGTAAGATGCGAGACGTCGAGGGACTTCTGTACGCCCGGAAGAGGAAGCTGTTTGCTCTTGCAGAGGATCACCCTGACAGAGGGGCCATCTTTGGCGGCGGATTGCTTTGTTACAGATTTACTTGCAGCAGGACGATAAGCTGAACCAAACTACAGCTTGCCGGGAAGGTTGGAGAATCTGGATGCTACTCGGATGGCCGGCGTTTTGGGCTTCTTCACATGCTGAAGGACTTTGACAGCTGTCTCCTCCGCATTGCTACTTGCATTTGCCGTTACCCGTTGTGTATGGTTGCATCGAACAGCATCAACTAGCTTCTGTCTTCCGTGCTTGGAAGGTGGTACCAGGCCAAGACTATGATGCAATCTGGATCAATCTGGATCAATCATGGCGGGGATTGGAAATCATGGAAGAACTCAGACTGAGTGTTAGAAAGTCGAGCTTTGAATTGAAGCATGGCGTCCCAAACCTGCAGATTTCGTCAACTTTGCACCGTAACTGCCGCTATTGTGCCAACTGCGACTAGGTTGGCGTGCGCTTCCATTTGATGGAGGCCAAGGTGCCGGTAGGCAGCAGGACTTGCCACGCTGGCTTTGGATTTGGAATCCTCGTAGTTCTCATGTATGAGAGAGCTCGCCGTCAGAAACAGTACAAGATGAGGTTCGTTGTCATTAAAGTTCCGGCATATCGGCCGCTTGCCGTGATCCGGTCCAGGGCCCTTCTGGCGCCGCCCGGGATGACGATCCCGGGCGCCCCACATAGGAAACCTTGGCATTTTCTCGCTGTTTTCTGCGAGCAACGGTCTCAACGTCGACACCACATGTGAATTTCTGCCGTTGAAAGTTGCGCAGGTCAAACAAAAGTAGACTAGATTACGTAAATACCCAAAATGCAAAAGATTTTGTGCCCAGAGGCGGATTCGAACCGCCGTCAACACGGTATCGCTGAGTGATGGAGACCACAACGTATCATCCTAACCAACTAGACGATCTGGGCTACTATGGCTGAGAACCATTGCTTGACGTCCACCGCCCCGCAACACACCATGAAGGGACTCATCCGGCAAGCGTCAACTTCCATCACGCTTGGTAGGTAATAAATTTGCTCATGCCATTGGCAGTACTTTTTCATATTCGTCGAAGATATTTTTGAATCACCTTTTTCTTGAATTAAAGGTAAAATCACTGTTTTTCTCCATAATCAACAAGCTCCAAGTCCCAGGCTGCTAAACGAATTGCATTCTTATTACGACTCAGAATATTAGATCTATCAACCTCTACTAGCATTTTGCAATATAATCAAGAAGGCGTTCCTTGCTGTAGAATACCCCAAACGGCTCTGCCAAGTATCTTGTGCGCCTATTGACCCCATAGTTCTTACACCCTCGATCATTGCAAAAGCCCATGGACCTGCTCGTTGAGTTTCCACGATATGTGAGCGGGTCCAGATGAGGGATTAGGAGTGACATTGAATGTTTGAAAAACGTCTTCTTGACCCGGCACTGTGCGACCGTCCGAGTAGTCTCCCTTGGGTAGTCTTCAAATTGCGCAATCCGCGTGTGCCTTGACAGGTAAATATTGCGACCTTCTGTGGTCCATATGTAGCAGCTGAGGCATGTTTTGCAGAGCGCGACATGGCGTTTGGAGTCTGAAGTGACCGACATGAAACGGCCGACGTTCTCGGCTGCATCCTTGGCCGCGGCACACTGCTTCGTCTTGCTCTGTTCTTTTCGACATCCAGGGTCAAAAGACTCATTATCACCTGGCGTGTATAATGCGCTCAGTCGCCTGAAGCACACACAGTCTTCGTGGTAGAAAGGCTCCAGAAGAGCCTCCATGTCGGATGTGATGTGGCGGCATAAGATTTCCATGTCCACAAATCTTCGAAGGCTTTCTCGAAGCAGGTCTTTGGTGACAAGGTGTCCTCTCTCAACGGTGCAGACTCTGACTCTGAACCCTGTCTCCAGATAGTATTCTCCTCTTCCCGAGAAGAGCCCCGCAAACCGGCGAAAAAGCTTTGGAGGCTCTTCTCCGGGTTCCAACTTTAGTTCTGTGGTGCATCTCGTGCACTGGGCAATGATAACATCCCTCCGTACGTCCACAGGTGCCCGAGCCAAGGGCTTCAACAATGACACTGAGACATGGCGACACAGTCTCAGCTTTCCCTCCCAGCCGATGCACTTGCGGGGTCGTCGAAAGCCGCCAGTGGAGAAACATGGTCCGTAATGCGGTTCTTTGCACTTAAGGCAGTACGCGTGAAGGCACTCCGTACCATCCCATGCTTTCTCGGTGGACTTTGCTCTGCGAATCCGACATTTTTGACACTCATGTCTATCTCTCTCGGTGCGTTTAAAAACTGTTCTTCTCGTTTTCTCCCAACATAAATCCTCTATGGGAATATTTGAAATGAGTGACCGGAACAGAGGGGAGGTTTGTCGCAGGACACCGAGGTCGGCCAGATCTAAACAACTGACGATGATGAGAAGCACATCGCGAGGAAGTCGGTACAGGATGCATCTCTTCATGTTATCTCGGCGTTTGGCGTTGTGTGACAGTGAATAGCCCGTGTAAAGTTGTGATTCATTCAAGTCCGCGTCGTCACGGCATTTCTCTATGAGATCGTTCGGAATCGTAGGCATTGCGAGCGGGGGGATCTCTGGAGGGATGAGATTCGTCGTGGATGAAATCGAACTGTCTGATTGATAGCAAGCTTTCCGCCTGCGAAAAAGACGACGTAGCAATTCTCGAAACATTTGAGATCCTGATATCGCTGTGGCTAGCAGAGAAAGGGCGCTGCTTGTGCGAAGCGTGGACGATGGAACTTGGAGGAAAGGACGTTACTTTCACATTCGCGGGCGGCCCAAACAATTATAGCATCGAGGATGGGCGCCGGCCAGAACCTTCACCCATTATGAAGAGGATCGAGACTTTCGCGGCTCATGAGTGTTGATTCACTGATCCTTCGAAACCCAAAATCCTTTCCGCGGTCGTAGGAATTTTGGATCGCCGAACCCCGCCGGTACTATGTTGAAGCTCGTGGACAATGTTCGAAGGAATGTCCAATCACAGTCCGAGACAATTTCTATTCACAGAACCACAGAATCATATCAAAAGTAATAATCCGGGTCCTTTTGCATGCTCAGTCCCCGTGCTCAAAGCCCGGGTAGATGCCCAGGTTCAACAGCCAAAACAACAAAGTCGCTCGACACAATGCGGGCTCTTACATCGTTTGTTGTCTGGGGTCTTCTTGAGGACAACGTGATTGTTCTATGAGGGTCCTGGGTAGATGGAATGAATCAACCTGATAGGCATCGCCTACATATAGTCTCTCATTGCAGTCTGCCTTGAAGATGCTCACTTACTAAACATTCACAACATCATCAGACTATATCAGCATTGCGCTCTCAGCTTCAGGTAAGCTCTAACATCACGCAGGTCCGCCATTTACTACACGATCTCGCCGTCAATCTCTCCCAAAGCTCTCCAAGTCCAAGATTACAGTCAATCATGTACCGCCCTCAGTATGTCCCCGTCAGAATATGCCCTCAATGTAGAACGACACCCCTAGGCCTCTACGGTATGGGTCCCAACGGCCAACCCATTGAGACTATCTGCGAAAACTGCCGCCGGCAAAACATACGCAACGCCGAAATCGCTGCCCGAGCCCACCAGCAGGCGAACAATAGTCGGCGAACCCCAGGACCCCTTTGTGCGCGCTGCGGACGATCACGTCCATCCTCTGGCTGCACCTTCTGTCCAGAGTGCATCGCCGCAGACGCAGCCTTCAGCACGCCGAGCATCCACTTCGAAGGAAATCTCTTTCCACCGAGACCTGATAACCGCCTCTTCTGCTCACAATGTAACCGAAATAGGGCAGCTTACAGCCGCAGCCGTTGCCACCAGTGTATCTCCGCCGAGCAGGCCTCTGTTCCGAACATTCGCGAGGAGCGCCGCCAGTCACACTACGGCAGGCCCAACGTCCCCGGCGTCAACATGGACGAGCCGGTAACCATCTATCCGCAACAGAGAATCTGCTCCATCTGCGATCGCGCCCGGGCAGAACCAGGTAAGACACACTGCGGGAACTGCGCTTACCGTGACTTGTATAGCGGAGGACGTGACCAGGACGGATATGAGGCCATCGCCTGCGCCAACTGCGGCCAGGGATGTCGTCCCTCGCCCAACCGGCTTTGCGGGACTTGTGATAGAGATGGAGACACCCAGGCTCGTCGGCAGAGCCGGGCTCGATCGCCGCCCTCCCGGCGGCACTCAATATATGACGCTTCGCCTCCACGACGTCGTCGTTCGCCGTCTAGAAATCCCACACCGCCTCCCCGACGGCGGTCGATCTTCGACGCTTTGCTTCCCCGTCGTAGACGGCGTAGTTCGCCGCCTAGAAGCCAGTCACCGCCTGCCAGACGTCAACGGCGGAATTCTAGGCCGCCTAGAAGCCCGACACCACCCGATAGCCCGGAACACCCTGTGTTTGGGAGCCAGATGTGTGGATGCGGCAAAGAACCCGTCCGCGCGCCGGGAGCTGGCATGTGTATCGGTTGCTTCTATGCATTCCAACGCGTGGGAAAGGCGGGCTGGCACGATGAGAAACGCAGGCGAGGCTGGGATGGACACCGTCAACGGAGACAGTTTTAGGGTACTCTTCTGGCTATGGGCGAATCCAATACGAGCGGTAAGTGTGTTTGAGAGGTGTTCGAGCAGCAGATGTAGGACTCAGTATCAAAATGCGCTTTGATCGATGTGAATTTTGTACGCTGATCTAATCTTTGTATTAAATGTGCCGTTGTCCCAACAGACAAGAACAAACCCCAAAACCGAGCAGCCCGTCTACATGCCGTTACGCCGTCTGCCACCAGCCTTACTCCTCGTGATATGTCCCTGAAGCACCTTGCGCGTCTGCACCAAACTGCGCTTGTTCTTGTGCTTCGCCTTGCTCAGCGTCATCAAGAAATTCTTCTGGCGCGCCTTCTCCTTGTTCGTCGTACTCTTGCCCTCGGCGTCCTTCTTCGACTTGCGGATGGCCTTCGTGGACTTGTGCTCTTCGCGGTCCGGCTTGCCCTCCCTCGCCATGGCCACTCTCTCCTCCTTTGTCGTCTTGCGCAGCTTCGCGGGTGCCTCGATCTGCTCGGCCGTAAGACCGTCGTCCAGGTGCCGCGCGAGGGCCTTCTCAATCTCCTTCGATCTCTTTGACGTGCGGTTGCCCAGCGTCTTGTTCAGGCCGGCCTCCAGGCGGAGCTCTTGGAGCTTTGCCAAGTCGGCGGGGGTGAGGATGGTGGTGGTCGCGAGCTTCTGTATCCTCTCGATCTCGGCGGCATCGTCCTCCTCATCAGCCTCATCCTCGTCGTCAGAGCCCTCCTCGCCCGTCTTGCGCTTCTTCGGCACCGGCTCCTCCTCTTCGTCAGAAGAGTGATCGACGGCGATCCAGCCACCAGAGTCATCGCTGTCAACCGAGTCGACCTCCCAGTCGTCAGAGTTGAAGCCATCGTCCTCCTCGTCGTCCTTGTCGCTGCCGTCCGCCGGGAGACCCTTCGCCTCGCGTCTGAGTTTGCGCTGCTCTTCCTTCCACTTCGCCAACAGCTCGATGCCCTCGATGCCTCCGACCTCCTCCTCTCCGAACTTCCTTTGCTTCATCTCGCCGCTCCTCAGGCCCATGGTCGCGTCCTTGCCTCTGTCCTTCTTCATTAACAGCTCCGCGCCTACTTCTCTGTACAGAGACAAAAGACCCTTGGCAGCCATCATCACACCTTTGTCTTTGCTCTTGCGGTACTGTACAAGATCTTGAAGCAACGTGTCGCTCATCGCCAGAGGTTGTCTGACACAGATTTCACGGATAGCGTTCAAACCAGCAGCCGCAACCTCGGAAGCAGAAGCTTCCGACACAAACTCGTTGGCGATCTTCTGGATGAGGGGCTCGACGGCATCGGGAGGCACCAGGTTGTGTGTGCCTTGGGCCAGGCAGGCGAGGTACGAAGTGACGGATTCTTGACGAGGGGTGAGGAACTTGATGAACCACGAGTACAAGCTGATGATGGTCAGCTTGTGCAGACCAACCAATCTTGTGACGAGCTGCAGGACGAGGATCCGGTTCTCTTGCGAGAACTTGACCTTGGTGTTCTGCAGGTGCTTCTGGAAGACGTTCTCGGCGAAGCCCTGCGGGTCGTGCAGGAGGTGGAAGGCGGAGAAGTTGAGCGGGTGAGGCTTGCTCTTGCTGCGCTCCTGCTTGTGGAGTTTGGAGACAGCCTTTTTGTACGCATTCTGTTGCTTCTTGGACTTCTTGTTGATGCCGATCTGGTGCTTCATCTTTTGCAAGTCAATCTGCTCCTCGTCGCTGTCCTCGTCCTCCATCTCTTCGCGCTCCTTGTCGCCACCCAGGAAGAACCTTGTGGCGCCAACGACAACCTTCTCGTTGTCCGACAGGCACGCCTCCTTCATCACGTCCACAGTCTTCGCATCGGTCCAGATCTGGCGCTTCCACAGCTCCCTCGTCAACTTGACAGCCCACAAGGCCTTGGGCGACGTGCGGTCGGCGGTGATGAGGTTGTAGAGGACGGTTTGGATGGTGCGGTTGAGCGGGTGGTTCGTGCCCTTGGAGTTGGCATTGCGCATCTCGGAGAGGATCTTCTGGAAGAGGAGCGTGCGCAGGGTCTTGCTTGGCGAGGAGACGAGGATCGGGAACAGCGACGTGAGGAGGCTTGTCGAGTCGATGACTTCCTTCTTACGCAGGAGCGCCAGGCTGCCGACGATCTTCTCGCGCAGCTCGGGGTGCAGCACTTCATGGTGCTGGAGCAGGATCGCCTTCAGGTCGTCGGGGAAAGCGGCAGCGTGCTTCGGGTAGAGGTCGGCCGTGTGGGCGATCAGGTCGACGAGATTATGGAAGGACTCGGTGTACTCTCTCGTCGCGGTCGTCGGGGAGGTCAGGAAGACCTCGCGCTGACTCTCGTACTGGCCCCATTGCTGAAGGAAGTTTTCCTCGTAGGACCGGGGATCGCGACGGATCTTGTACTGCAGACTCGCGCTGGAGAAGTCAGCATTTGAATTCTGGTGGTAATAATTGAACTTACAAGTCGACATCGACCTTCTCGAGGGCGGTGACCTTGCGCTTTCCCATGGTTGCTGTCTGCAGTCGAGTCGGCGATGCGATGGGTAAAATGGATGGACAATTGGCGGGGACCTGAAATGCCCGTCCAAGCAAAAAGAACTTTTTTGCGTCGAGGTAGCTTATCGGCGCCTTATCTCAGTATCTTATCTCAAAAGCTGCGCACGGATCTCTTAAGGTCCACTATGGCGGCTTCACCGAGCATACCGACACCACCGAACTGACAGACCGACTCTCACCGAAATTGACCTCAATTTCAAAGCATCGAGTTTGCGCAGCTATATCTTCTGCGTACTTAATTTCTCCTACAAAAGACGATAGTAGAAGTCTTAGTTTTAATAGCGACGATGATGACAGTGAGCTGCAGGAAAAGTAGTTACTCTAGCACAGAATGAATAATTGGTGATCTCTTGGAGAATACCTGATGTACAATCCAGTTCCTATTCTCTGCACCACTGAATCTATGAACATAGCCAAAGTTGCATCATTCAAGTCAGTTACTCAACTCTTCAAGCACATCAAGCCTCCCAGCAAAGGTACTGAAGTGCCATGTTCCTATCCACCTTGTCAAATGCACTGATAGCGTCTTTGAGAAGTGGTTGGTGTCGCAAATTCTTCCTCACTGATCTACCCTTGTTTCGGCTTTCGTCCACCGTCTTCAGAACCGGTTCCACCATCTTACTGCCCAGAACAACCGTATCCTCTGGGCTCACCTTCAAGTTCTCGTAGAGTATAGTTCCGAAGGTATCGAGAACTTTAGTGCACACATTGAAAATGTCGAAATAGTTGATGTTGGCGACTGGGTTGCATGGCTCGAAGTCCTTCTTCGCCATCCTTTCAGCCTTGTCCAGGTATATTTCCATATCCATACCTTTGCGTAGCGAACGCAGTCTTGCTTCGGTAGCCTCGTTGAAGGGCAGCTTTGCGTTTATGTCGAATAACTTTGCCATAGTCTCATGGTCGATGATGTGTTCAGAGGGATGCTGAGCGAGGTACATCGACTCATGAAGATATGGGCGCCGAACCAGATGATCGCCGAATTCAACGGCCTTTTTCCAGTCGTAGTAGAGAGAGCATCGCGAATGGGTCAAGAAATTGGCCTTTGGACGTTTTCCGTTAAAGGCAGCGTTTTTGAAGAACTCGCATAACTCTTCAAGAACTTTGATTTTGGGGAGTCCGACGTCGGACATGCATAGAACGTTGTAGAGATGCAGCACCGCTGGAATGACAGGAATGGCATCATACAGCGCTTGTCCAAGTACCACAGCACCAACAAGCAGCTCATTCAGATGGCAGCCTGCGATCCATGGGGCCTGATGGTAGAGGTCCCAGCGCACTCAGGGAACTACATATTTCGCAAGCCCACATTGGGAGGCTATTATGGATGAGATTTCAGATCTGAAAAATCAATTCAGGCGCACAGATGAAAGACAGACCTCGATTGAGCCCACTAAATCGCCCTTCAGAACGGCATACAACACCCCGCTGTTGCTGTACGGATCTATGCAACCAGCGTCAAAAGAGGAATTGGTGTCGGCCTTGCCAGAACGAAGTGCAGCAGACCGTCTCACATTTCAGTACTTCAATGAAGTTTCTATTCTACCCGGTTGGTCTCCCAAAAAATGACACATGATCTGGTCTGAGACCTCATACTCAAGCAGCACGGGTGATACACCCACCTCAATTTCTTAAGGAGGTCCGTCGTCCATCGTCGCCATTCACACTGCACTTCCATGACTGACCGAATGCTTGTACAGTACGAAGACTTTTGGTCCAATCCATCAGCAGTCTCCTTGTCATGGTTGGGTCTCTTGTACGGAGTACTGAGTCTTTCCCACTTTTTCTCCTCGGAGCCTGATCATAGAGAATCTCAACGACAGCCAAAGTATTTAGAGTGTTTGGTTCAATGCCTTATTGCTGCAGACTATGTCCGCGGAGGTCCCTACATCCTCGAATGCCTGATCCACTACTACCTAGTCGAGTTCTACTTAAACCCCGTGACAGAGGTTGGCAACTGGATGGTGGCCGGCATGATGGCTCAGCTAGCTTTCCGCATGGGATATCACCGGGACCCATCTCATTTCCCGCGCATCAGCGCTTTTGAAGGCGAAATGCGTCGCAGGGTCTGGGCCACCATACACATTTTGGACGGCACGATGGCTATGCTCATCGGCGCGCCGAGGATTATCTCAGATGGGACGTGGAACACGAGACCACCCCGCAACATTTATGACGCCGACCTCGACCAAGACTGCGTCCAACTGCCAGAGTCCCGCGCCGGCACTGAAGTTACTGAAGTCTCGTTTCTGCTAGCGAGATACAAGATGAGCCTCGCCATGGGGAGGTTAGTTGATCTGAGCCTGATGAACAAGCTGGAATCACCAGAAAATGTGAACAGCGCCGAAGCTCGTCTCAAGGAAGCCTACGACTCGACACCCGAAAAGTTCAAGTTGACCTCACTCGTCCATTGCTTGTCAGATAAGCCGGTCAGTGTGGCACATCGGGTCATTATTACATGTCTTTACAACAAATCTCGCATCATTCTATATCAACGCCAACTACGGAAGGTCGCTAGCACAGGTTCATCAGGACCTGGTTCAAGTGAAGAGAACGAGAACTGGACGTCAGCGGCCCGACGCAAATGCATAGAAGCAGCCCTTGAGATCATGAAGCATTTACTGTTCCTAGACGCGGAAACACAACCAGGCGGCACCTTGACTATGATGAGGAGCAAAGTGTCTGCCTTGGTGGTCCATGAATGTCTCGTCGCAACCGCAGCCTTGAGCACATATCTGTACCGCTGGTCGGACGCACCGGCAGTTGACGAGAGCGAGGGCGCAGTCAGCAAGTCAGAGATTGAGGCTATACTGAGGCAAAGTTACCAAACATGGTCTCATTGGAGCAATTGGTCCGCTGAAGCGAGACGGGCGGTAGAGCTGTTGGATTTGCTATTCAAGAAGTTGGGAGGCAACAGCCTTGACATTGAAATCGACGAAGAAGCACTTCCAATGGACGAAATGGAGCTCGGTCTTGACTGGGACGCGGACACATTAGGAATATTCTTCCCGCTGCTAAATGAACCATCTGTATAGCTTCCGGGCTATCCCACATCAATCTCAATCTGTTTATGGATGATTCGACCTGCCCTTCCACGCCCAGTAATACTCAGTATGCGTATTCTGGATGAGATGGATGCCCCTTTCCCACAATTGCATCTTTTTCGTGATAGAAAAGGCAGCGTTTGGTGCTGTAAAAAGTCAGTGATCCATTCTACAATATTTAGACATATACTCACCCTCCAGACAGCCGTGGAAAGCATTCTCTAGATCAAAGGCCTCTATACTTTGCCCATCTTTACCCTTATCCTCACGCTCCTTTCTCACCCTCTCAACAAAAGTCAACTGCTCATGAACAGTGATGTCAATCGCAGCCACCACAAGCAGCATCCTCTGAGGCAATGTCTCCTCACTTGCAAGGTAGGGGCTCATCCTCGGGTTATCCCAGTTCGCTGCTTTGGCGGGTGCCGCATAGGAATCATACAGAGGCAACATGAAGGCTAGCGGATCTGTCGACGGGAAATTCGCTGGACGAGGCTTCTCCTCCGGCTTCGGGCGTAGGTCGATTGGCGCATAGAACGTGACCGCCGCCCTGATCGCAAACTCCTCAGAGGGGATGTTCTGGCTGGCTGCCAGAACGAGGTTCCCGCCCGCAGACGCCCCTGAGACCGTCATGAGTCTCGGGTCAGCACCTAGCTCCTCCTCAGCATGCTCCCGCAGCCACGCAAGCGCGGCGTCAACGTCGTCGATAGCGGCCGGAAAGGGATGGACCGGCGCGAGACGATAGCTCAGACTCACGACGACAGCACCAGTCTCCTTCGCAACCAGGGAGCAGAAAGGCGCGTCAGCCTCCGGGATGCCGCCCACGAAGCCGCCGGGGTGGCAGTCCACGTGAAGTGGGCGAAGACCATTGCGACCCGACCCGGTCCCGGGCTCTTTGAAGACGAGGACGCGAAGGGATCGATCACTCTTGATAGGGATGTAGCGGATCTTGTAGGGACGTCGAAATAGGTAGGGCGCTAGCGCGAGGGAGTGTGTTAGGAAGATAATGGGTTGCAAGGCTAGGAGGCGCCAGCGCAGGGACCAAGGGAGGTGTCGGCCGAAGAAGAGGGCGTCTAGGGCGGGCCTGAAGTGGGCGACGGCGATGTCTTTGATTGCGCGGAACATTGTTCGTCATGGAATCGCGAGTTCACGGTGAAACCGCGGAATGATGTGAGATCCATTTGCTCGGGATGTGGGAATACGGAGAGTAATGAGGGAAGTTTGTCTAGCGCAAGGACAATGTCATCATATCGAAGTCGCACAAAACATCTTTTCCTGATAGCTGAGTGGATTCGAAGAGAGAGTAAGGCGGCGTAATCTGAGACCGAACATTTGAGAGGGATGACCCAGGCTGACAGGCTGATCGCCCTGCGGAGTGCCACGCGACAGCGATGATGCACAGCGATCCGTAGCCTGCATCGAAACATCTTCTGGGGAATACCGGGAAGATGGGGGGTTTGGGGAGTGTTCATTTAGGTGATGGGGAACCGGTGGGTAACAGTGAAAACAGAGTTCGATTGAAAGAGAAAGATCGACATCGACGGGGCCCAGTGTGATGGGACGGCCGGCCGGTCGGTACGACATCCGGGATGGGGACGGGATCACGCAATCCGCAAATTGTTCGACGTCTTGAGGCTCATTCGACTTGGCCCAAATTCATGGAACAAACAATCGTTTCCAAGAATCAAGGAAACACACATTGAGTCAAGATTGGCATTATTAGCTTAGGGATGCCACGCGTGTTAGACACTTGAGGAATTTGGGGATGACACCAGGCTGGCTGGATAAGCAAATAGCGCTGCCCGTGAGACACAACATCAACGCCTGACGAATGCCTCAGCCTCGATGTCTCGTCTCAGATCGCGAGCCCACACGCATCATTTATCTTGAAGATCTGACATCAGAGACATGCCTGCCCGAGGCTGTCGACTTTGCGACTCTGAGATTGATTGAATCTGGGTCCCAATAGCCTCATGAAGGCAGCTTCCTAGGCGAAATGAGACAAACAGGCAGCTCCAGTGATGCCAGAGTGAATTACACTTAATTATTACATGAATGCGAATATCGTAACAGTGGAAGCCTAAACGAAGCCAAAGGAACCAAGTCTGGCTTTCCATCAAGTCATGAACATTTTCTTCTTCGTAAAGACGCTCAACCAAAATCTTGTCAAGTGGATTGCGTGAATGGTCAAGTCCGTTTGAATTCGTGATCGAGGGGGTTCTCATGCAGTACACACGTAATGACCCAAGGGTGATGGGGACGGCGGTCCTCCAACACAAGCCCATCCAGACTTTGTCGCCGCCTCATAGCCCCTTCCCATCTCTAGCAGCGGGCCTCGAAGAGAAAACGAATGGTCCTTCTCATCCTGTCAAACCTAAACCATCCTTTTCGAGCGAGATGTTTACAAGTCTGCACAATGTCAGCATACCGTCCCCTCGGAACTCATGACGGGTACTGGGACTCACCCTCGCAGTAGTCGGCGGTGGTGGTGACGGTGATGGTGGGGCGGGGAGCAGTGCTGGTGACGGCGGTGATGCCCCAGCAAGAGCAGGCGGAGGAGTACTCGGCAGCGTCGTCGCAAGAGGAGGCGTAGGCGGGAATGACGGTAGGGTAGGCGGTAACCTGGCGGTTGACGATCTCACCGTTGCGGCGGAGGCGGGCAGGGGCAGTGACGGTGACGGTGACGGTGCTGTTAGCTCCGTGTCAGTCTTCGCAACAACTCCGGTCTGAGGGATGTCATAGAACATACGTAGGGGAGGGGGTGACGGTGGCCTGCATGAAGGAAGAGCAGTCGGCCTTGCGGGAGGTGATGGGGAGGAGACCGTCGCGGGTGCCGGTGACCTGGCGGTTGCAGTTGTTGCCGGAGCACTCGCGCTTCTCAATGGCCGAGCCGAAGGCAAGGGCGGCGAGGGAGAGGATGACGGCGGCCTTCATTTTGACGGTGGGTTCAGACGATCGACTGAGGTCCTAAGAGATTTGTGGATGGGGTGATTGGATGGAAATCTGGTAGGAAGTCGGTGATGGAGAGGAAGGGGGAAAGGGAGGGACAGAAATGGGTTACATGGAGGCGAAGGCACCGTGATATATACCATCAGCCCCCAGTCCTCTCAAGATGGGGGTGGGCTGGGGCCGAGGGGGTGGATGTTGGTGGCCATGCTGTGCCTTGGACTGCCTACACTACGTGCGGATAGATAGACATGCAGACTAAGGTGAAGGTGAGTGAACCAGAAGCAAGCACCTACGGTACGGTATGCAGCAGTCAATACGAACCGCAGCAACCAGACGGAAGAAGAGTGGAAGCGGAGCCCATCCGCCCATCTGGGCGGAAGCGATGGGAAAGGCGGGTCATTGACCGGGCCTCTGGACAAACGGACAAGGGGGGGTGGTGGATGGCAGGCGAGAAACAACATCGTGGGTGAGGATAAAGGATAAACACATATTGACGAAGCTAGGCTCCCCGGTGCGGTAACACCCTGTACCTGAGCGTGGGCAAGGGTGCCAGGGGTTGAAGAGGGGAAGAGCAGCGAGGGACGACGAACGCCTTGGTTCCAACCCGTTCAGCTCATCTTTTGCGTGGTGTGGCATTTCCCACCTATCAGCGGGCGCAGCATCCGCATGAGGCAGGTTGGGAGAGCATGTGGGCGACGGCGGCGAACCGCAGGAACAAGTTGACGCAGCTCAGCGCAAGCGTATCCGAAGGATGACTTTGGGGTTGGGTTTGGTCCGAGACAGAGAGATGGGGAGGAGAAGGTACCGTTTGGCTGCCTGGCGCGGCCGGGGGTGACATTGTCTTCCCTGGTCTTCTCTGCCCTGACATTCCAACGTGCGTCCCTTCTCTGGTTCTCAACCCTGGGCTGTCGAGGGAAGGCCAAGGATTGGTTTTCCATGCTAGCCAACGCTATCACGGCGGGGGAGGTCGTCCAATACGGCCTAGCCTTGAATCGGAAGTCGGGGTTTCACAAATGGCCTTACCCGGGGTCACCGTTGTTTGCTGGTTGTAATAAGAGACATTCTGGTTCAGCAGTGGAAGAAGCTGGATGCAAGGGAGGCACGGAGAGCAAACATTGGCAACGGTGCCTTCATGGCTACCATATTAATCACTATTGAAATCTGCGTAACGCGCCGCTTGACTGGTGGCTTCTTTCCGTGTTACACATGGAAAAAGCAATTGAAGAGTCTTTGGCGTCATTGAGTTCCGCGTGTTGTCATGGACTCTGTCTTTCGTGTCTTCGATTCGGGTAACGGAGCTGTCAGGTGCGAAGGCGATTGGCAGAGAGACGCCAAGGCGCAACGGCACGGAAAGGCCATCCGTTGGAGGCGCGAGCTTTACTATGGACTGGATAAACAAAGAGAACCACGGGCAAGGATGACATTGAGGCTAGGCTGGCTGCCAGCATGGATGAAGATGGGAGGATAAGAACGGTGAGGGGGACTTGATAGCCCGGATATCTGGGTCTGTGGAAGAAACTCGGCTCCAAGCACACTCATGCTGTGATGTGTAGATCCGAGATGCCCTCGCCTTCCGAACCAGCTCGAATTCTCCGTAGGATCTGAAGAGAAGTCTCGGCTGAACATCCAAATAGCTGCCGGCGACTTGCCGCACATTACCTTCTCCTCAGTCGATCGGGCGGACTGTCATGGTCGCGATATTTCCACCGACGGACGCCAGCGTCACATCGCGAGAGCCGCGGGGGAGCCTGGCCTGCGTAAGGAAATGAGGAGAAGCGAAATTCAGACAGGCGGGCTTGCTGCGGGCAGGGACATGGGAGAAGCAGCAGCTCGCCGGTCGGTGATGAAAAGGCACAAAAGGTTCGAAATCGAAGAGGCGAAGAAGAAAAGCCTGAATGAGAATAGGAATCATTAGTGTGAGGGACACCGCCAATGGGGTTGCGTCGCCTAAAGGCCCGCGCCGCCGACCTGCATTGGCCATGATGCTGTCGGCGATGATCCGATGAGCGCTGTGCTGGGCCGTCATAATGCTTTGATTTCATTTTCAGGGGATATACTCATCAATTGAACAGAGACATGTAGGAACCGTCGGTGTTTGCCAGTCAAAGCGTGTGTTTCTCACTCAACTCATCTCATGACGCTGTAATCTCTTTCTATCTTTCAACATCAAAGATGAAAGCAAACACAAGGCCCCTGGTCCCTATCAACGCACAGGACAAACTCTGACAGGACTGGAGCCCGCCGGAGATCGCTCTCGTCAAGCTAAGCGACCAGCCTAGATCTCCTCCTGATCCGCCCTGCGACAATCAGTCCACTCACAGCTGGGGCCCTTTATGAACCTAAGCTTTTATGCTTATGAATTCTCGCTGCACTGCGACCCCAAACCTGCTCTCGGGCGGGCCAACTCGGCGAGTCGGCGCTGTGGGATTTCAGCTATTGAAAGCAACAGCGTTGCAAGCCGGGGCGCCCATGACACGAACACCCACCACCAAAGCTCCGCCGAATGTTTGCGCTCTCCAGGCTGTCGGGGGCCGCCTGGGATATTTGACACGAGGTGCCAGGCTGCCAATTGCAACCCTCAGCGTGCTGTCGCCCGTCAGCGCAAATTGCGTCCCTCCGGCGTTGGCTTGTTATTGGAAAGGTTTGGATTGTGGTGCACTATGATGAGCCAGTCTGTGCCCATCGCGCCCGTCTCCGGCTCAAATCTCTTCGCTATCAAGACCGATCTTTTGCCAACGGTCAACGCCACCCGCGATCCCATCGGCGGTCGCCGTTGAGGAAGGTCCTTGGGCAAAACTCTCTAGAAAATCGATAGAGGAAGAGAAAGACTGGCGGCGGGGACGGAAGGCTAACCAGTCAAGTCTAGGCCTCGGATGCGCCACGGCCATGCCAGGAGCCGCTTCGCCGAAAGAGGCAGCTCGAGAGTGGCATAGCGCCCGATGACTGGTAGTCGTCTGTGGCCGAACCTTTCTTGGACTAAGATCAAGTCAGTCAATCTTCGATAATGACATCAAATCTCGCCAGGGGAACCATTGTTTGGGAGAAGCTTCTGCTTTTTGTTCTGCACGTGGCCGCTCAGCTTTAGAACTCTCACCAAGCTCATAGACTCTTAATATCAAGCTGTCAATCCCGTCTGTTCGAATTCGCCATGTTCCAAAATGACCCTTATCCCCCGAGCTATGCCCACTCTCCCGACCCTGCCGAGTGCCCACTCCAGTCCACGTTTTTCTCAGGCCCTGGACCATATCCCCCCATCATTAAGGCTAGCGTCCCGTCGGAGCACCCACCCCGTTTAAGCCTAAGAGCAGAGCTGAGAGCCCACTGTCGAGTCTTTAATTCCGGGCGGGCGCTGGCAGACCATCGGCGGAATCAATAAACAGCTCGGGTTCCAGGGATTCAAAAGCCCTGGAAGGACATGTTTGAACGAAGCTTACCCCCGCCGTTGATCAGACCGGGAGCACGTGTAGCTCTGGAGACGGACGTTTGTCCTGGGTCTTTCGGTGAAGGCGTTGGGAAAGAAGTCCACCACTTGGCGAGCAAGAGCACGTTGTCGTTGGGAAGAAGCTCACTGATGGGTTGACCGTTGATCCACGTTCGTCACTCCCTTCAGGCTTGAGGATAACCGTTGGTACCTTCAGCGTCCGTGGCTCACACAAGAGTGCGGTCATACCCGTGCTCTTTGAGCTTCAGAACAAACATTGAGATCTTGTAGAATTCATATGCTCAATTTCCAAAGGTCACCAGGCATGAGTCTAGAAAGCTGCCAGTTTTACTTCCATTAGCGCACCTTGCCCAAGTCACGGTCAAATGGTTCGTACCGGCCATCGTACTATCCTAGCTCAACAGAATACTCTCCATCATGACCAAGAATACTTTCGTCACAGTCGAGCTCTCGCTCGCCCCAGAAACCCAATTTACCCGGAAATTCCTCAGTCCCAGCCTCTCAATCATCAAGATCTCCCCAACTCACATCTTCCCCTCGCGAAAGATGAGCCGGGGTACAAATCTCCGCGAAGCATTTCCGCCCAATTATCCCATCCCTTTACCGCTCTCCCCAGCCTCAAGACAGCGCATGTTCTGCGCCTCCCCCGCAGCGACTTACACACGCACATCCACGCTATCCTCTGTCAAGAACACACGCGTAGTCCATGCTCAGAGACGATTCGAGCCGGACTAAACCACGGAGCAGCATTTCCCGAGATCCTCCAATGAGACTTGCTTGCGTTCCCTTCCCGAGCAGCCGGCACTGCGAGCCTACGGAATAACTCCCATCCCCCCATTGCAGGAAGGGGGGTTTTTCCTCATGATTTACCGATGAGCATGCTCTTGCGGATCTTCCTCCCGTCAAGGTCTGCGTTCCCTAGAGACTCAGGAACAACCGGTGTCGAGAGGTATCCCGCAATGAAACCGTCCCCCCGAGCCGCATTTCCCGTCCATCGCTAAGACATGCAGAGGAACCTCCTACCGGCCTGGATCGTGACATTTGGCCCCCCCCCCCAGCCTGCGGAACCAAGCGAGGTGTGGGGTTGTGTCTCGTTTCCCGTGCAGCTGTTTTTCTCCATGATCTCCACGAAGCGAAAACCCACTCTCGCGAGGATATCCCCCGAGGGTGAGGGACGTCGATCAAGGGCGAGGTGCGCGGAGAAGGCCAAGGTCTCCACAACCTTACACCCGACAGAATCTGGATGCCCCTCGGAGTTGTGAATGACGTGCGTGCGGTGAAGCCTTCTACAGGCGCTTCGCTGTATCTTAAAAAGCCCGTGGAATCTGCCAGGCTCGTTCAAGGATTCCCCTCGATCCTGTCTCATCAGCATTACTCTTGCAGAACCCAGGTCGGACTCTCGCATATCTACGCAGAGGCCTCCCAGTCGTGAGACGGAACCTGCCATATCAAATTTCAAATTCAGGAGTTCAACCTAATGTGAGATCATCGGCCTCGCAAATCAGTCTCTATATTCAAGCCAGGTTTCTCATTTATATAGCATCACGCCTATCTAAGCTTGCCGGTAAGCCAAACAATGCATTCGAGAAAAATTGTGATTGAACGGTTGCATGAGTGTCCCCACCAGAGCTGTTGCTCGCACCCTTTGTCAGAGAGTATCACTTAGGGCGATGATGCCGTGAGAGTGTCTCCTCCACTGGGTATTTAGATGGAATAATTTCCAAAAAAAGGGTGTGTGATATTGATGATGAGTCGTGGAGCGTAGTCGAAAGGCTTCTCTTGCCCGTGGTTAGACGGACGACTCAAGCTGTAGTTGTTAACCCTAAGTTTTCTCGGGGCGTCTTGCGTTGACGTTGAGTATTGCATCCAACGGCCGAGAACCTCAAATGAGCATCACAATCCTTAACACTAGATGCGCAGATTATACGTATTGCTAAACAGGTATCAATATATTGTAGCCGGCCTAAAGAAAAGACCTGAACGCCTATCAACCAGAAAAGCACCTTCGCCTTTTGGCGGTAAGGGTCGGTGAGCCTCATGGCATCCAAAGAGACCTGACGCCGTTGCGCCCTCGAGGTGTATCCGAGGCCCGCGCAAGCCTCCCAGATGATATACCCAGTGCCCTCCACTGTTCCGGTTTCCTTCCCGTGTATCCTTCCATCTACCGGCATAAAATGTGCCTGCGCGGCACGACTCGTCGCCTAACCTCTCCGCCCAAATTTTGGACACATGAAGAAACCAACTCCAAGTTCGTTAATACAAGTTGGCCGAGAAGATGTAGCCATACTAGAGAGCAGATGGCTGCCAACATCACCTTCCAGAGTCCGTCTGGCCTGTCCCGCGATCAGAAGGCCCGTAGTGCCCAATGACCTCGGTATCCTCGCTCACGACGCCCAGCCCGCCGCCGGCCGCTGCGCTGTCACTCCTGCTCCTTGCACCGCTGCCGCCGCCCTCGCTACTCCGCCGACGCTGGTGTACGGCCGGAGGCCGACTCATCCCCGAAAGGCCGCTGGATGATCGCCTACGACCGTCCGGTACTGGTGTGGCCGCCAGTTCAGGGACGTAAGGCGTCGCGTCAAGCTCCTGCATGCCGTCGCTGCTCGCCTCGCTCGCGTTACTATAATGGCGGAGATGAGCGTATGTGCCCTGCGAATCCGTGCTTTGGCGGTGCACGCCGATCCAGGCACTCGATCCCTGGCTGACGCGCTGACTACGATCCGGCGCCATGTCGAAGTAGCCCCCGTTGTACGTGGAGTCGTAACTTGCGTGCCGGTCTGATCCCGAGCCCTGGGGGACGGCTTGATAGTCGCCGATCGTGCTAGGCGTGCCTCGGTAGGGCGGTGTAAAATCCGGGCTTCCAAGACCATGAGTGTGGGCCGTCGTGTCGGAATCGTGTCTGCGGTGGGATGGCCGCGGGGACATCATAAGGGGGTCGACGCTCATGTCATCCACCTCGGATGGCGTCGGCTTGAACTGGTACATCGATGGTCGTGACTTGGTTCCTGTCGATGTGCCCCTGTTGCTGGTCTCGACTGCTTTGACGACCTTGTTGAGATGGCGAATGATGATCCAGGCAGCCACGAGAACGATGATGAGCAAGCCAACGCCTCCCGCCACGATGCCGGCGATTTGGCCCGTAGTCAGACCGTCACTGCCACCATCGTCGCTGCTTATCGGCTGTTCCTTCGGGACGGAGCTCGGGTAGTACTTGATGACTATCTGGTCTGGGTCGTCGCCCTTCATCGTCGCCTCGGCAGTCGGGGCTGTGGTTGGCCTTGAGGGCGTAATTACTGTAGTTGCAGTGACGGTTGTCGTCAATACTTGAGTCGCATCGTTTGTGGTCGTCATCGTCGTCGTTTGTGTGTATGTTGAGGGATCTGTTGAGTAACAGGCGCTCACGGCGCAGCCCATGCCGTTCCTGCAGCAGCCATAGCTGAGACTTGCGGGACACAGATAGTAGCTGGCGGGACACGACTGAGAGTATGACACCCCGGCCGCCGCAACGCAGTTGCTTCCTCTTTCACATCGGTATCCTTCGGGACAGCAGCCACCTGGGCGACATTGTTAGTCCTCTCAAACCACGACACAAACCCGAGTGAAATCGACTTACCTCCCATGACTGGGTCGCAGGCGAAGTATCCGACCTGACCCGCGCAGGTCCGGGGAGCGCTTGTCGTCGCATAACATGAGTCCGTCGCGCACTCGTATCCCGACTGGCAGCAACCTCCGCCCAAGCTGGCCGGGCAAGCCGCATAGCCCGTCGAACACACCGTGGCTCTCCGCCCCAACTCGGCAACAGCCGTAACATGGGCCTTTTCTAACCTGTGTACCCCATCGCGTCGCTTGAACTCTGCCGCCGATACTCTCGCGCCGAATAGATCAAGCCCCAAACCAAGCGCACAGAGTGAGCAAGAAAAGCCTTTCATTTTGGCGAATAACCAATGAATAAGCACGAGTGTCGCGCGGGAACCCGGGGCCCGCCGATCATTCAAAGATGGTGGGATCAGCAAGAACGCAGTCGTCGAGTAATCGTACACGGGGAGCGCAGAAATTCGCAGGAATTCACAGAAAGGTATGATATACTCTGCGTGATCGGCACCGTAGGGGTTGGGAAAAGCTTTGAAAGGTCGATTTCAAGACAAAGGTACTGTTGGCGGGGTCGGCCGGGTTATGAAGTTGGCAAGTTGCGCTGGTGCCTTCGGTTGGGAGGAGGATCGAGATAGCCCAACTGCATGTGTGTCTGGGGGCTGAGCCGTGGTACAGCGCAGCACCGCAGCACCGCAGTCACACCCCACGAGGTCGTAATCGGCGATGGGGGGCACAGCAATAGGGCTGAAGAGTTGGCAACAAGACTCGATGATGGAATAAGTCTCGTATTTGCCAGTTTGCCGTGCAACTTGGACCAACACGCGAAGCCTGGCTCTCTTGTCGTGTTTCTTCGATTCTTTCGTTTCTTCCCGTCACGTATGATCGACCCGACAGCGGGTGGTTGCAGCTGAAGATGGGAGAGGGGGAGGGGCGATCATGGACTGTTTGGGAGGGCGCCGAAGAGATTGTAAAGGTAGAGAGCGTACATATGTGACGGGAGGGCCATGCCTCGCAGCAGACCCTGGCGGGGCATGGGTGCAATCTTTGGGACTACAGGACTATGGGATTTTGGGAGGTGGCTTGTCTTGTCAGACCGTCAGCTTTCACCATGCCTGGCTTGCCCTCTTTGGGAAGTGAGCGAGAAGCGGCTCTGCTTGCGAGACCAATAAGGTGAGGTTTAGCAAGGGCACCAGCCTCTCAGAAGCCACGACAGCGGCGGTGGATGGGCGCCAGCTGGGGGGATTTTTGAAAAATCCATTCGATTTCGATGGTCTCGATTGCCGTGGCTGCTGGGTGCGCTGGACATGTCTGGTGTGAGGCCGAGATAGCGAATCAACGGATGGCAGCTGACGAGTCGGACAGACGATGGCTGCGGTGATGCGGCACGACGAAGGTTGTCTTACCCGTAGATGTGGGCAACATATGGGAGTAGAGCAGAGGGCCACCAATGGGACGGAGGGGTGAGCTGCAAGTCGGCGACAAGGGCCAACAGGAGCGGCAGCTCGTAGGAAGGGCTGGGCAGGCAGCTGCATAACAGCGGCGTGTGGGTGGAGGAGACGGGGATGACAAAATGCGAGAGGGAATCGCATTTGGAGATGAGCAGATTTGGACACCAGAGCGCACCGCACCGTCGTGTTGGGGGCTTTGCCTGCGGTCGGTCGAATGCGACACAGAGTGGCTTCAGCGCGTCGAGAACCAACATGATCGCACGAGGCATCCGCTTGGGTGTCTCTGGATTTGGGGTCCACGTATTTCGCTCCGAGCAAAACCTGTATGATGGATAATGTCGCGCTGGCGGAAGTGAAGATAGAAGGACAAAGCAGGCAAGGCTAGAGGCGTTGTCGTGAGATGGATGTCCGACGGGGCCGGGTGCGGTCGGGGTCAGCCGGTCCCGCCACGGCATCGATGTCGGGCGACACGCATAGTCTGGCTGGGCTGTGGATAGGGCGCCCGATATTCACAGCCAACTCGCCATGCGACACCGCCGGCGAGAAGTTGATCCAGTGTCCATGCTGCACTCGCAGCATTGAATCAAGACAGGGGGCCTTTTGCTCTCCGCGCTGACCAGTCAATGAGCCGGAGAAGAGGCGACGGGGAGGGTGAGCGGTGGAGGACAGACGCAGACGCAGAGGCGTGCAACATCAGGTTGTATTGAAGCAGGCTGGATAGAATCGGAGATCTGTTGGCTCGCAGAAGGAAAAGCATTTGGTGTTTCAGAGTGTGATAGGCGGGCAGGCAGCTGAGATGAACACTTTTCTGCGCGTGGGCTACCGAAGAGGTAGTACAAAGTGCAAGTCTGACGCGGTGCTGTTCGTGGGACTTTGGAGAGATGAGATAAGATCAGGCGAGGTGCGATGTACGGTCTCGGATTTGGCTGAGCCCACGTTAGTCAGACTCAGAACTGGACCAGGCAATCGGAAAAAGATAGCCTGCGGACGCGGGCATGACGGGAGCCCCCAGCTTGTGAACGGTTGAACCCACGCGCGGGAGACCGAGCGCGCGCGGGGAAGCAGAGCGTGGGGGAAAACAGGTGTGTATTCTTTCTTCTCTGTCTATTCATCGTGAGCGCAGGAAGGGCACCAGAAGGAGTCTTCCAGATTACTTACCGATCGATGCTATACTGCACAAGCACAAGGCGGCCAGTGAGTATGAGGGCGGGTGATAGGTATGGAAGGATTTACCCTTTGCAGAAGCGACACCGCAGCAGAATACTGATGCAAGTGGAGGGTCCTTGGCTGCAGACCGTGCAGACAGTCAAAGGCGGCGGAACCTCGAGCATCCATGAGCAGGGAAGATATTAATAAACTGGGATCATCAGGTCGAAGGCAGACACTGGTGGACACAGCAAACCTGGGAGCACTGGACGGGACAGGAAGGAAAGATCGTCTCAGTCGCGCTTTCCTGCCGTTGCATTTTCTGTTGGTTGGGCCCCGTTGGTGCAAGACCTACCTGCCCACTGCCTTGCTGCCGTACCTACCTTCCAACCAACGAAATACTACTCTAGGAAGTAGCAACGACCGACTCAATCGCACCTGCCTCTCATCTTCCTTCAACCACCCAAACCGAGTCTCTCTTGCCTGCCCTGTCCTATCCTATCCTGCCTCGCCTTGCCCCCAGTCTCCTGCTCCAGCCTCAGGCAGGAACACATGATCAGGCACAGCCTTCAAGACGGGCAGTGATGGACAGGCACCCGAACCAGACATCGACGGGGACGCAACTTCCATGGATTGAATTCAGTGTCCTCAGTGGGGTCTGGTCCCTTGACGTTCCCTCATGAAGGACGCTCCCGTCTGCCCGAATCCACGCCTCCCCAGGACATCACCGCTAGACGGCTTGGAACTCCGCTGATCAACCACCAGCCGACTCGATTGGGAGAACTTCCCCGGATTCCTTCCTTTCTTTTCTGCTTCTCCAAGACGCCAAACGCCAACACCCAAACTCTGACCATTGCTCGAGCGCCTGTCCCTGACAGGGTCTCCAATACGAAAACCCAACTCCATTCGTGGCATTGCCGGCATCGCATTGCCGCACTGCCAACCAGACATTGCCTTTTGTCTCGACATTTGCCACTTGCGCGATCCTCCCTCCCCAAAAGATCAGGTACCAGGAGATACCAACAACGACAACGAGAACGAACATACACACAACTGTGCCAGAAACTACGCATTTGGCAGGGAACAGCTGGCAGCCATCATCTTGTACCACCACAGAGCACCACCACGAAGGACTCCCTATGCGTAATCCCCGTTACGTCCGCTCCAGTGTGCCATCGCTTCGATACACCAGAGGATCGCCCTGACCGCTCCCCTCACCAACCGATGCGGTCCGCTGGCCTGCCGCTAGTGGGAGTTGCAACCCGCACACCAAACTCGATGCTCCCTCCTTCATCATTCACTCAGCTTGCCTGCCTGTGCTGTGGCATGTGGTAGCATCGGAGACTCGACGCCCATTAGGCTTGGAAGTGTGCCTGCCAGAGGTCTAGACGCCAGGCCCAACCACGCGTGTATTTGCAGGCACGCTACCGCCGACAAGAGTGCGGGGAAGACATCTTTCCCTCATGGCGGCGTGGCATCTAGGATCATGGGTGTGGTCGACTGGCTGAAGACTGGCTGGCTGCTCGAGTCGTGTCGTCGATTTCGGACTCAATCTTCAAAAGCCAGCAGAAACAAGATGAGGGCATAGAAACCCTCTCATGGACTCTGTCGACCATTCATTTGCGCTAATTGCCGTCATGCACTCGATGGTCAAAAATGACAACCGGTCGTCGAGCCCCTTGTCGCGCAGACCGTCCGATGGGCAGGACAGGCCCGCTCTGGACGAGGTGACAGAAGAAGAAGCAGTCCGCACCCACTCCAACGGGGGACATCTCGGCTCCCGCTGGCACCCTGTCTAGCACAGCACGGCTCGCAGCTTAACAGCTCGGCTCGGTTGGTGCAGACCAGCAGAGTCAAGTGACTCGACTCATTCCCCATTTCAAATTAATCAAAGCAGATGGTGCCCCAGCCTTGGACTTTGCGGCTGGGCGGAGGCAATCAAATCTCCATTTACGGTGCCCTCTGAGGCGGAGCTTGCGTCCGGCACTGTGAGAGTTCCAAACCGTCCGAACGGCTACACCATTTAAACTTTCCTCCGGCGCTGCAGGGTCCATTTCGCAACCAGAGGTGAGGAACGAAGGTGGTCACAGTACCTTGGTAATGGTGTTGGGCTAACGTGCCCTCGACTCGCTGGAAGAAAACAAAACCAGACGGGATGGCCACTCGGATGCGGACAGTAGCCACCTAGAGAGCAGCCATGACGTCTCTGGCTGCCGGCGGAACGAACACGGCAGAGGCCTGCAGAGCCGTTAGCCTGGAGCCAGCAGTAAATTCCGCGCCTTCAGCCACTACCGGAAGCTTAGGACGCCCTAGAAGCAGCAGACGGGCGCCCAGAAAAGGGATACGAAGTGCGCTATGCCACGCCACCTCCTCATTCTGAACGGCTCGCTGCCCCATTCGGGCCCTGTGGTGATTGAAGTTGGCGCGTTCTTGCATCTGCTGTCGGGCCTGTTGCTGTTGTGATTGGGTTCCTGGAGAGTCCGGGGTCGGTGTGCACACGGCACACACATGGCCTTGGGCTAGGCGGCCAGGTTTACGGGTGTTGACAGACACTTGACGAAGGCTGGCTCTTCCTCAAACGCAAGGACAATTAGACGGCATCATCCTCGAGCCCATAACATGAGCACGGCGGCTCTATGCATTCATTGCAGCATTACACGCCGACAACAAGGAAGAACATGGCCATCTCGGGACCATCTTCCAGAGGCATCCCAGTGCCGATGACATTTCTCTACGTACACATTAACAAATAATTAGCTACAAGCATCTACCTGGCCCAACCACCCTTACTCCAACTCGTCCCCATACCTACAGTGCGGTCCGGTGTCTCTGGTAGGCGTCCGCTCACACCTTACTCCTCACTCTCACACCTGGAGGCGGACGCCCAAACACCGACAAAGACGACCGCCGATGCAACTGCCACCACTCAGAACGGGCTAAATCAACAGCTGGAGACAGTCCACCGAGATTGTGACACCCATCTCCGCACCAGATTCGCCGCTGTAACCCCGCAAGTTTCTCCACCTTTCTGCTTCTAGCACAAGTTAGCCCCCAGGATCTCTTGGTCACGATGTGCGTGATGCCCAGCGGCCTTGTCAGCATTGGGAAGGACGCCGTCGCTGGCAGCTAGCCTTGGGCTCGGGCTTGGGGCAGAGGCACTTTTTCTCGCTCTAAGCAATGACTGGGTCCCAGGTCGTACCTGGCGTGTCCCGGGGAGGAGCCAAGGTCAACGCAAGGTCAAGGGCAAGCCATGTTGGTCCTGGATTTGGAGCAGTTGGAGAAATGGCCATCGTTTGGGCCTTTGGCTTTACCTTTCTCGCCGTCTCAATTCTGCTCCATTTTCCCCTTCGTCACTATTTGAAAGGGTCGTTATCCGAGAACTGTATTGACTCGCACGAGACGCTTTTCTGATCCTCTTCTTGTTCCTCCTCTTCCTCCTCATCACCCCCTCCGCCCCGATTCCCCATACAAGATCTCGCCATTCTCCAGAGGCACCACCTCCAGTCTCCAGTCTCCATCCCCCACGCCCCCCTAGTGGACGGACCAACAATACGAATTGGTCTTCACCTCAGCGCATCAACCCCCTGCCCCGGTCCATACCAAGCTCGCGGCCCCGTCGAAAAAAGGCGAGAACAACATCTCGTGGTCCAGAAGAAGGGAGGAGAGGGTTTTCTTTCGCCTCTTCTGAGAAACCTTCGTCTACCCTCGGCATATATCCGATAAGCCGGCTACCGAACTGGCGAGAGACAAGGGCAAGAACAGAGGTCAAAGGATATCCACATCATACGCTGTTCTCGACAGACTCCACGATCTTTCTCTTCACCGCGCCATAGAGAAATCAGCAACCCGGCCTGGCTTATCCACCTCGTCACATCCCTCCCCATTTCCCGCAAACGGGTCCCCCCTCCTTCGCAACCTAACCTTACATTACTTTACTTTTGCCCGCCAACCCGACCAGACACCAGGCCTGACGAGACTCGACCCAGTCACTGCGGGACTCCCCGACATCGTGAAAGCCCGCCTTTACTCACCTTCTAGGCACAGGTAGCCTCGGTCCACACACTCCTGGCCGCCGACTTTCTCCCTTCTTTCCGTGCGGGATGTAGAGAGGGCAAATTCTCTGTCTCGATATACCAGCGCCCTCCACGAGAAAGCTGCTTTCTCTCCCTCGACGACATCCAAAGAAACATTATGTCCATACCTGCTGCTGCAGGCACCGGCTCGTGAGCATCATGTTGCTATATACTAAACTCGCCCCGCCAAAGGCTCCCAAAAGGCGGTCCAGATCTGGTGAGTCTGCGGCCAATCCCTCTCCCCTCATGCCTCCGCCATGTGCTTTTTTCCTGTTGGGTCGTCATTCTTGCGCCGCTATTGCCGCCCGAATAGCTTCGTCGCATTCCCCCAAGCCTCGCTACCTTTTAACCCGTCGTGTCGTGGCGACAGCCATGACTGGTCGTACTGTCGTACTTTGCATTGATTTCTGACGTGAACATATTTCATTCATGCAGGATGTACATATTGGTAAGTGAGCCCCGTCGGACCCCAATGAGAGTTGATTGTCGCAATTCTAACTTTATCGATAGCAAAGAAAAGGTTCGCCCATTTCCACACGATCTCGTTCGATTCCCTTGAACTGGCCCCTGCGTACTTTGTGAAAAGCACTTCTGACATTTTTTTTCACCTACAGAAGAAGAAATGCGATGAAACACGCCCCCAATGCTCTCGCTGCGCCGAGCGCGGGCAAGAATGCGCCTACGAAGCGGTCAAGCCTCGACAACGCAAGAAGCGCGATTCCATCGCCGGCCTAGGCTCCGATACAGCATCCCAAACAAGCGGTAGTGCCATCATCCGCCGATATTCTGCGCCTGATGTCACTCTCCGACGGTGGAAAGAGGAGGCCTTCGACGACGATGAAGAGGGACTCGAGGAGGCTATCATCGAAGAGCCCGAAGATACCGCCGACTCGCTCGGCCCCGCATTTGACATCAAGAAGATGTTTGGCATCCGCAACCCTGATGTCAAGGTGGATGCTCCGCTGATCTCGCCCATCGATGCCGTTTCATTCAACCTGTCCCTCGAGGACGCGGACGAGGAAGTGGTTCGAAGAGACTCTATTCTAACGGACTCGGGGACGGCGCCGCCACACCTCGCCGTAACGCGGGCTCAGCGCCATTCGGATCTTTCCTTGGTTGCACCCGTCTCGGTGGCGTCGCCACGGCTTGAATTCCTCTTTCCAACTTTTTCCGAGTTCTCGGACCGTCCCAATCGTCGCGCGCTGGTCGACCATTTCACCAACGTCATGTCCCACTTGATCGTACTCAGGGAGACCGAAGCTGGAAACCCATTTCAGCAACTCGTGCTGCCACTCTGTCATAGCAGCTCTACTGTAACGAATGCGATATACGCGCTCGCAAGTGCCCATCTGGAGAACAGAGGCTGCGGCTATACAGAAGAGAAGGCGGTGTACTTCCATAATCAGGCGATTCAAGGCTTGGCGCGGCTGATTGAACTCGGAGGGGACGCGAATAAAAATGAGCTCCTGGCGACAATCATGTTGCTTGTTTACTACGAAGTTGTGAGTGCGATACGGAGGAGTTTTTGACACATGCAGCTAACCCGATGACAGCTCGTGCAACAAGGCCGTTCCAACATCGTGGATGGCCATCTCAAAGGTGCCATCGCCATCATGAACGGTAACAATGCTGATCCTAATCCTACCAGCGCTTTCCTCGAACGAGTATGTCCACTGAAGTCATCTTGTGTTCAAACACTAACTTTTTAAGGCTTTCCGTTTCTACGACGTTATCGCCGCTCTCTCTTTCGGTACAGCGCCGCTGTCCACCGCGCCCGCTACAGGCTGCCTTGTTCCGTTTCCGCCCCTCGATGCGCCTTCGACATCGCCCCTCAGCTCCGTGGACACCCTCCTTGGAATGTCCACCACACTGTGGCCCATTATTCATCGCCTCTCTAATCTCCTTGCTCTCAAAACCGAACTCCAGACTGCCATTACCAATGGCCAGCTTACAAAGGTGGCCGTCCTCCGCACCGAGTTCGAAACAACATCCGATGCGATCGAGCACGCCCTCAAGCAATGGCAACCTAGCTACCCACCCGGCTTCTCTCCTGATTCCGTTGACGACATCATGTCAGAGGAGGAGCCTGAGCTGGCTGCTGAGCGTGCGCGCATGCACTCGCTCTTGAACAACGCTCTCGCCTACCGTCACTCGGCGTTTGTCTACCTCTACCGTACCATTTACGGATACACTCGTCGACACCACCTCGTTCAGCATCATACCCATGCGGCGTTGAGCCATTGTGCCGCAACAGTCTCCCACGCTGGCCCCATGGCAGCGCTCCTTTGGCCGCTGTTCGTGGCAGCTTGCGAGGCAGTGAATCCCGCAGACCGGGAAATCGCACGGCAAGCCTTTGTCGCAGTGGAGAGGCGGCAGGGCATGACCAACATCCAGCGTGCTTGGACCATCGCCCAAGAGGTCTGGCGACGGGCGGATATGATTGACGATCATGCGACGTATGACGGATATGACGACCACAGCTCCATGCTCTGCTCAACTCCCAGCAACAGGCTGGGAAAGGGAGGTGACTTGTGGAGGAGAGTCAGCGAAGACATGGGCGTCACGATTGTCTTTGGATGATGATAATGCCACAATGCCCAAGGCTTCTTCTGGCGATCCACCGGCGTTGAATGTTTTGAAGCCGTACATAACTGGAGTCATTTTGGTAACGGGACAACACACATTTTAATGAGTAAAGGGCATTATTTCGGAACAGGGGATGGGGATTGTGGTTTACACAAAAAAGCAAGAATATCCTAGCGGCGACGAATCGGTTTATTTCCATGGAAGGGGGTTCACATGGGATGAAGATAAGCATGAGGAGGGGTCCGGTGTGGCGCAATGGACGTATTGTTTCGAGGAAGATATCATGTAGGCAATGGCCGCAATGGAGCCAGATGTCAGTTCGTTCTTGGGGGATTAGGAGTATGTGAATTCGAGACACTGATATCAATTTGAATTCGGGATTTCAAACGACTCTGTGCTGCTGATTGGTTGCACGTTTAATTATGCACTTTGGCATGCCATGTCAATCCCCAGCCTGCCGTTTCTCGGCCTGAAAACGATGTCGAACATCTCCCCGAGCCATTCTCGACGAATATTTATCGATATCATAGACGTTCCGCTGTCATTTCTCAGTCCACATGGGGACCAGGAGACATACGTCACAGGTGATGGCACTGGATCAGCGGCTTCCCGGTAGCCCTGGTGGGCTGACACGTTTCTTTGGGAATCTGGGGAAAATGCGGGGGGCCCGTTGATGACCGTCTTTGTCACGGGTGGAACGCCTTCAAGCGGGCATGCTTCCCATTGGGAACAACATCAGGCTGGCACTGGCCTCTGGTACTTGTGTCGATTGACTTTGATTGATCGGGCGTCGATGGTTAAGGTTGACGTGGGTGGATGGGATGGCAGGAGTCAGATCGGATGCGGAGTGCATGAAGGTCTTTGCTGATGACAGCGAGCGTGTCTCTGGGGTGACCAATTGTAAGGGCTTGGATTCCACCCGGGACCATGCAGCAGTGAGGTAGGTAATGCATGGTAGGAGAGAGAAGAAGAAGGAAAGGAGATGGGAAATCCGGGGAAGGCAGCTGGCTTCGCTGGGGTGGCCGTATGAGTTATTGGTCCGGGGGGTTCGGAGTATAAGGCTATGTGTAACCATGCAATGTCCGGCGGTGTTGCCATTGTATGTCAGCACGAGGGAGAGAGGAGAGTAATTATGATATCGGTGCGAAGAAGCGTTCATGCGGTGATGGCACTATGAAAAGTGGAAGACATGAAATCTTGGTCTTCGTTTTTTTGGTGGTATATTCATCTCATGGCTCACCGGGAATCGGTGTAGACTAGACGGTGGGAGGCCGAGGTCACCCTTTCCTGACCGAGAAAGTGAAACCACGCGGGTCAGCCTGTCAGATATCGCCGGCAGTGACTCTGATGCAAATGAACCCGAGAGACTGGCTGGGAGATGGGCGTGATTGGCCGGGTTAAATGCGCGGGATCAGCAGCAGCAGGATGGTGGTGGCCGTTTGGGAGGGAGGACGCGTGTGTGTTTTCTTTTCTTCTCTCTTCCCCTCTGGACAGGGCTGTCTTGGAGTCTATTTGATGATTCGGTCAGTGACAGCGAGGAGTATCGTATGTCTTTGGGGTCCTCTCATCTCATCTCATGAATGTTGACGATCCCCCTCCGTCACTTACAGTATTCATCCGTAAATTGAATGGGCCTTGCTCCGTAAAAGATAGGCCCCGGTTTTCCGCGCCGTGCCCGCGGAAGTGGACACTTGCCTCGGGCTGCACAGTGGGCATTTTAGCGTCCTTCTTAGCGGCACCGGTGGCATTGATGGGTTCCATGATGGGTTGTTGATGGGATTCTCGGGATGCTTCCTCCATGTTTTTGGTGGCCAGTGGTCCCCAACCCCCATGTCGCACTTGGGCCTGTTCCTTTCCCACCCCGAATTCCCCCCAATCGCCCAAGGCCCTTCGCTCCCGTTCTGCCGTCCGTCTCCCCCCTCCCGTCCCCATCTTTAAGTAAAATCCCCTAAAAAAAACACAGACGAACCGGGCCACTCCCCCCGATTCCTGCTCCCCCCTCCCACCTACCTCGATGGCAATCTAAGACAAGACGAGACAAGTCAGGACGGGAACGACGAGACAGACAGCACAGCGAGACAGAAACAAGACAAGACAGGGACGGCACAGGAAGAAGAAGAACAGACAGGAGAAAGGAAGACACACGAAACGAAACCCAACGTCTATTACGCCTAGCCGACGCCCACCTTGACGCCAAAGCCAACGCCAACGTCAACGGCCGGCGTGCCATCGTCTGCGCCTTTCCCGTTCGTCAGTCCAGTCCGTTCCGTCACCTCCCTCGGCCTCCTCCTCGCCCACCTATCCTATCGACGGGACTCTCGTCATCCATCTCTCGCAGCTCCTCACTTCTGGGCTGCTTTTTTGCGCCTCCCCCTCTCTCGCCTACCCAAGCCAGTCCAGCTCGGCTCGCAGATCTTCCCGGTCCTCTCGCCTCGCCTCGCCTTCGCCTTTGCCTTCGCCTCCTCTTTGTACCATCGCATCCCCCTCCTCTCGACCGTTGGGCCGTTCTGTTCCATCCTTTTCTCATACACACCTACTTCGCACACACACACTCTTCTGGATTATTCCTCCCGGCACGGAAATGCCCTGGTTTCATGCCGCAATGTGTCCCACCTTTACCAACTGTCAACCTCACAATTGACCCATCTTACACACTCCATCCATCCATCCATCCGTCAGTCAGCTCCTTGCCTCGACTCAGACTCACCTAGACTCAGCTTGCTGCAAACCGACTGCACTACTCTGCACTCTGCATACGCACAACTACCGCATTGCGCTGCACCTGCTCTTGAGCCCTACCGCTGGACTGGAGCTACAGCAGCCCGGTCTCCACTGAACCCTTCTTTTCCCGCCCGCAGCTGTGAGTGTGCTGCATCCCAAGCTTTCCCCAAGTGGAAGCCAAAAAATAAAATCGAGCCGGAAGCTCTGCTGGTCTCCATCGACTGGGAGCTACACCCCAGCCAAACCACCACCACCACCACCAGCATTACTACCACTACCACCGTCAGCAGCCAGCAGCTCAACCTGCCTGCCGCGAGGTCCCTGGCCGACTGGACCACATCCCCGACCAAGGGCCATCTCAATCAGAGTCAGGACAAGTGCTCTGCTGCGGTGTACGGGTACCAATCTAGTGCAGGGCTGGACAGTGCCTAACTGGAGTCCCGGATACCCAAAGTGCCATTCCCGGTGTGGGTAAACCAGGAACCACCTGCCATCTCCACCAGACCAGACCACACCAGGACCAGACCAGCCCCGGACCTGACCGGGAACCTGAACCGACCCGGAAAGACTCGAGAAAGTTTGGAGAGATTGGAGAAGACCAGCAGGACAGCAGAAAAAAACACTGGAGAAAAGCTGGAGACTGGTCTGAGGTCTGACCCTTTTTCTGGCTTTTGGCTTTTTGCCTGTGGCCTGTTGTTGCTGCTGCTGCTGCCGTTGTTGCTGTTGTTGCTCCCGGCTGCTGGAAGCTCGGCCAAGCAACACACGTCCCGCCGCCGCCAGTCGCCCGCCCTTGACCTCCTCCCGCAGCGCAGCATCATGCTGCGTCGCTGTTGAGGTTCCGTCACCTCACGCGCCATGACCTCCATCGTCAACGGAGCTCCCCCCGCCCCCAAGCAGATTCGTTTCGTCCACAACCAAGGCCAGCCGCCCTCAAAGAGACGAAGGATCAACGCCGCGTGAGTCATGTCGAGCCCTCTCCCGTTCCCTTTTTCCCCTTCAAGCGCCTCTGCCGCTGCTTGGAGCTATGCCGTCCGTCTTGCGCTGCCAAGGCGTCGCCAGAGCTATAGCTTCCCCCTCTGCGCGTTCTAGCTAACTCCCGCTTCCCAGATGCTTGACCTGTCGCAAGCGAAAGACGAGGTGCGCCGGCGAGCGCCCCGTCTGCTCGACCTGCACCAAGAACGGCCACACGTGCTTGGGCTACAATGAAGTGATTGAGAAGAAGACAGCCGGTGGCGCCATCGCCACCAAGGATCCCCACCAAGACGATGACGACGACGACGAAGACCAAGACGACCACCACCACCGCGACGAGGAGGAACATGTCGAAGAGAAGCACAATTGGAAGACGCCGGACAGCGGCCGACGTCCTTCGGTGACGCACAATCCCGCCGGCGATGCTGCCTCGCGGACGAGCTCAGAAGCGGCGACGGGGCAATCGCCTATCTTTGTGAGGCGATCGTCGGAGAATAGCACACGAGACCACGACCGCCGACGGCCGTCCAACCCGCGAACAACCTCCTTCTCCGACGATGCCCGGAGCACGCAGAGCCGGTCGCCTACGTTGCACCATACCGAACGTCATCGAGTCCCATACTTTCGCTATTTCGGGCCGACGGCCATTGTCCCTGGTTACAAGCAGATGGTGGTCTCTGTCCGGGATCGGAGGAGAAGCACGGGAGGCTCTGCCACATCGCCCAGCTCCGGGTCCAGTATGGTCCAATCGCTGGGGATGGCCATGTCTGGAATGGCGCAGCACGACGAGGAAGTCGCCATTGACGAGGAACTGCCGTTCTACGACCCCAACGATGTTGCGCCCGTCCACCCCCTAATTTTGCACTTGGTCAAGGTCTTCTTCCTCCACCTGGGCTGCAACTATCCGTTCTTGAAAGAGGATAGGTTCACGCAAATGGTCAAGGAAAAGCGCGTAGAGCCTATTCTGGTCGACGCCGTGTGCGCTCTGGCCGCCCGTTTTTCCGATTCACCGCAGCTGGCTCACGGCAAGGACGAGGAAGCATCACATGCTGAGCAAGGCCAGTACTATGCTCAGAGGGCCAAAGCTGCCACAGTCGACACCTTTCCTTGCCCCTCAGTCGGCGCCGTCCAGGCCTTGCTGATGATGGCATACGAAGGCTTCGGCGCCGACCAGGACAGCGCCTTATGGATGTACCTTGGCCTGGCCATCCGCATGGCCGTCGACCTCGGTCTGCAGAAGAGAGTCGGCGTGCAATACCAAGGGGAGAAAGACCCTTGGTACACCCGGCAGTGGGGCAGCG